TGTTGTCACTTTTAGTTCAGAATAAAATTTCTTCATTCTATTCATGTCTATTTACATGCATTTAAGAACCAAAGTAAAATTATTATCATGTTGATTTTACTAAGGTTTCCGGCCAAAACTACTTCTCAAAATTCCTCTTTACCATTGTGTAAACTTCAAAATGAAATTATATTAATAAAACACTCATTTGATTCTTGAAAATTATTTTTTAAAGATAATAAAATCTGAGCAAATATTTAAAATATTCAAAAACCAAAATGATTGCTTCTTTGCTGTATATTCAAGTCGCAGTTCTGTCTTGAATACAGTAAATAGTTCATATAATTGTTGAAAGTTGTCCATAATCCAAATATATTACACGATTTGACACTTCTGTTCAGAGTATACTTGAAATGAAGCCTCATACAAAGAGGATCATACACATAAAAACGATCTTTTCAGTCACTTCATTGTCTAACTATCTTTCAGTTTCAGCACTGGTCCTGGATGTTTCCCATCTGTTTCAGAAATACGTGAAGAAAATACTTGAGTGTATAATAAAAACATATAGACAAGACAGTTGCCATCACATCAGCACCGCTAAGACCAAATACATACACATAACATCAGCCTAGAATCATTGCCAGAAATGATATGGACAACATTGCGTTTCGAGTTTGGAAACAGCTCAAATGAATTTTATCTTGATGCATTGTGTCATTTGCACTGTTCTTCAAACCCATGTGTTTCCAGTATCTAGCTACACTTTGTAATACATGTTATCATAAACAGTCATAGCAATTCTTTGTAAAAATATTTTACTATGTCGTAGGTACCACGATTTTACAATCCACTACGACTCCACGTGGAGAGGAGTCGTATTACATACTTTCAACAGTTGCCACATTCGTCATGTGTTGCATATTATATGTAATAAAATGAGAGAGAGAGAGAGAGATTCTAAAAAATTCTTCATTTTCTCTACTAGATATATGCATTTTAATGACACCATAATGGAGCTTTTAAATGTATCTTTAAATGATTGTGAATTGTGGTGGTCCGATTAATTGAAATAATCAAAGATTGGTTGCAATGACTAAACGACCAAGCAATTGATCATGTTTTCTCATAAGCGAACACAAACAATTTTGAACACTTGTTTGCATTAACAATATTTTTCACAAGGTTGGTTTTCTGTCTGTTACATTTCATAAGCACTACAAGTTCGTTCCTCATCATGATTGAATTCTGTGCAATGTACAAAATAAACCCAAAGAACTACATGCTTTTTCTAGATTTTTGTGCATTAAAACATTAAAGCACACAGTCAGGAAGATTTAAAAATGACGAAAACCAATTATTTTCGATGATTGATCAGTTGTAATGAATCAATCATCAATTATGAGATTTTAAACCAATTCCCAACATTAATTGTGAATAGGTTATTGATATGTTATCATAGACAGTCATAACAAGTTTTCATGCTGTTATCTTCCTCAGTATTTTTCTTCTGAGATGAGGCATTCTTCAACCCTTGTAGCAGGAATCTCTAAAACACAACGATTTCAATACAATATATAAATATATGTATGTAATATAATACAATAATATATGTGCATTCTTAGCAGCCAAACACTTGACAGTTCAGAAAAACCTAAAAGCACATAAGAGAAGATTAACTCTTAAAAGATTCAATTGTCATCTGACATTAGACATACATGCCCCCACCCCATTACCCTACAATAAATGGCTATCACTTAATTTTTGTTCAGTTTTTGTTTGTATATAAAAATGAAATTTTCATACATGCAGTAACCATTTATTAAAAAACACTTTCATTAATTTTTTTGTAGATAAATCTGGTTTAAATACTAAACCTCTATGCAATACATAACATTTCATTGAATTTATTAATGATCCTTCCATCATCATGATCATACATCCAATCTGGTTTTCAATAAATATAAAAGTCAGCTTAAGTGAACACAGTAAAACACATTATTATACACGCAAGTGTTACCACTATTCCAACACACTAAAATGAACATGTAATGAGCCTTGTCTTTGCTAAGACACGGGATTGTTTACATGCATATAGTTTGAAAAATCATACTCAGGTTACCATGGTTACTAAATTGCAATTTGTAAACACACAAAAGAGTGACAACTTCCTGTTCTTGCTCAAATACGATTTACCACAACAATACAAATGTTCTATGATCAGGAAAATCCAGGAAACGTGATAAACAAAGACGTTATTTATAAAACTTTCGCTGTGAAAAAATAGCTGAATATTTGCGTCGACTTTACCCGCTTCATCATGTCAAGGGCAGATAACTCTAAATAACCAAGGTACGCGATTCGCGGCACACGACACAAGAAAAGTTTAAGGTCTCATTTCAGTAAGTTATATACTTCCTAAAAAATACCAAACTTTTTGTGCGTGTAAATTAATGATTATATATTAAGCGTATTTGCACATACTTCAAGAAAATAAATATTTTACAATATTTTTGCATACGTTTAAAAGAGCAAAGTTCAACTTACCGTCGTTTCTTCATCTTTCGTGGTCAGATGCTAGTTTTGCGAAATACGCGCACTTGAACATGTGTACGACGCGACACCATAAAAAATCGCATACCTTTGGTCAAAATATGCATACTTGGACCTTAAACGTCGGCCTGTCCATGACCCAAAATCGTCCGCAATTCTAAAATAACGACACTAGCGCCCCTAGCGGCGGCTGCGGTCGCTAACTGTATGACATTAAGATTCCCTGGACAACAATCAATGGTTGTCGACCGTTGGAAACAGAATGATTACAGTAAGATTCACTATAGATCAGTGAACCCAACGAACCCATTACAGTACTTGACTTTCTCCCCTCCTAGGTCACACCAGTACCGTGACATCGACAGGATAGGTCCTGTGTATGGTCGTCTAGCTCGGATATAACTGGTGCACAGTCGATTCCTGATGCTCTGTGCAGTAACAAACAAAATTTAATCTGTAACCTGATGTGTATGTCATCTTGATGCGACGTCGTAGCCTTTTCGGTCTACAACGATGCTTGTCTGTTGCCCACAGGTCATAGGACTGTATTGTGTGATAACTACAGCAACTGATTCCAAAGACTTACCAAGTTGCTGATTTGTTAGTCCCGGCATGCTCGCTGTTTTATATTAAACTTACAATCTTGATGCTTTCCTGTTTAGCAATATGTGTGTGCAGAGACCATATAATTGAGGGACGGCCCTCCCCAACAGTTTATCACTAACCATCAGCGCTACGGCCTGGGCCTAGATTTTTCTGAAGCTTTGAAGCTTAGCGCCAAGATAGTCGTAAGTTAATGTTAATGTATGGCACTTTACGACTATCTTAGCGCTAAGAGAGCTTCGGAAAATCTAGGCCCCTGTTATCTTATCAACGCTGTACCGAATGCTAAGGTGATCAGATCAATCAATGCACGTGATTGTTGTGTTTCACTTGGCCTAAACAAAAATGAATTGATCCACTATAATGTGGGTGTCAAGTTTTTAATTTGGTTGAGTATTTGAAGTTCATCCACCAAAGAATAATTGAAGCTGGGTATAGTCTGATGTCAACGAATGTTTGTACTGTACAATATTACTTATTTTTCAACTTAAATATTTCAATATCTACAACTCACCATCTGACATGTTCATGTGACACTTCATTTACCCATTTACTCATTTAGTAATAAATTATGGTTAGGACAAACTTACCTTGATGGTTATCAAAAGGAATTTCACATTCAGAAACATTTTTTTTGTCATTGGGCTTAAAAGATAAGATAATATCAAATTGGATAAATCATATCATTTGCTATTTCCAAGCTTTTTAAACTGTGACTGAATGTTGGCCACAGAAACAACCTACATCTTAACACACAGACCATAATGAATCTGTACACATAAAAATAAATGAGACCTTTATATTATTGGTGTTGTTATTTGTTTGAGGTTGACAATGCAAGAAGATGTAAATGTTTCTCCAGCAGGTACACAACAGAGAGGAGTGAGTGAGTATGGTTTACACTGCTTTCAGCAATATTCCAGCAATATCACAGCGAGGGGCACTAGAAATGGGCTTCGCACATTCAACCCATATATGGGCAAACTAACCTGGATCTTCGACGTGACGAGTGAACACTTTAACCACTAGGCTACCCCACCTGCCTACAGAGAGGAAGATGCAGGATGTAAAACAAGATGTGCACATAATATCCATGTCGTGAAGTGGCTTAGTCAGATAAGATAAAACAGGGTTGTGCACAGTTTTGTGGTCTTTAGAATAAAAATATTCAACTGTTAATATGACAACCAATGTTTTGAGTTCACTAAAAAGCTAAAGTCTGAATGCTACGTAGTGAGCCAACCAAATTCAGAATGAAATGAAGAATTGTCATTATCAGCTGATAAACCGTTCATTATATTTGGTCTCTGCAAGGCTTGATGTTTGCTATATAATCACTCAGCTGCTGACAGAACTATCTTCTAGGTGTAATGAAAAGATTTATTTCTTTCAGTTGCTTGAGTGATTAATTTGATCCTTTGGAGTTGATACACTGACTGACTGACTGAGTTTAGTTTTACGCAGCTTTTAGCAATATTCCAGCAATATCACGGCGGGGACACCAGAAATGCTTAACACATTGTGCCCATTGGGGAATCGAACCCGGGTCTTGCGTGACAACCATTTAACCACTAGGCTACCCCACCGCCCCTTAGATGATGCACACATTCAGCCAAGTTACTGAGTCCAAGTTCCTTCAGCAATAGAGGCTTGGGGCCTGTTCTAGTCTGGGATTCCCATGGGATGGTTGTACAGTCATGTAAGTACTTTAAATTATTGATGAAGAACATGTAGTAATTACTGTTTTTCTTGTAAATGGGGTTGGTACAAGCAAACCATGAATCATTATGAGAGAGATCTGGATTCAAACCCATGTTCAGAAAATCCGGGCAAGGGATGCTGACTCAGTGATGAGGCAAGACAAAACAGGTTTGGTTGACTCCACACACTGGCAGTAGCTTCCTCCATGACTATACACCACATCACTAGGTCTGAGACAGGTCTGTCCTCATCTCCTGTACCGGCTGCAGTTCAGCATCAGGGGTCCTCAGCTTAAACACTACAGGGATGTGCTCCAACATGGGGTTCCTCCTCTGTAGGTACCGGACCCATGTGACCAGGGAGTCCTTGCTGGCCGAGCCTGTGATGCACATGGCCATGATAGTGCCGTCCTCCTGCTGGTGCATGCTCCACTCCGGCATTAGGTCCCCTCGCTCCTCGCTGTCATAACCCTGCCAGTCGAACAGGTCTACAAGAGTGTCGGGTATCGCTCAAAAGCTCTGGAACATCAACAACATCACTGAACCCTTGCCAAGAGTATTTTCACAGTTGTAAGTAGCGATTTATTGGATACAAATTGGTTTCTAATGACGCTTTTTCACTACAGTCTGCTATAAGGGGTCGTGATTGGTCAAAATCAGACACGTGACCTAAGGCAGCCAATCATATTACGGAAATGGATATCGCCCTCAAAACGAAAACTTTAGATTAAGACGAAAGTTCGAAGTCGGTGGATTCGGATTAACGAGGACCGGATTAACGCCATAGTTGCCTGACTGTACATGTATTTAGTTGTAAAGTATTCATGTTGATCCCTCCTCCCTCAACACAACAGTGTTTGGCTGAGGTAATCATTCAATTTTAGTTCCACAACCATGATTGTACCACTATCTGTCAGCTTGTTTTGTTGTTTGTTATGTGTTGCCTCAGCAAAACTCCAGGTGATTGTAGGGGTCTGAAGCTAATCAGTCATGCTAGTGACTGTGGAGATTTACTGGTCTGACTGGATTTTTACTAGCCACAGGCTAGCGGGCCAGTGGCTATTTTGCACACTGAATGCTGAGGTTTAATGTGAGCTAGTCTTGAGACTTGTATTTATTTGACGTCTGACATTGCTGACAATAGTAAAGACTCTACCTTCCACACGTCAATGACATTCTCCTTGTCAATAACCATCCGCTTCAGGGCTAGCACTGCCAACAGACAAGGGTCCTCTGGGAGCTCCCTCGGTACTGGGTAGGGATTTGCATTTTTGAACTTTGGCAGCCAATACATCATACGACGATACTTCCTGAACGCATGGGCATCAGGACCAAATATTTTCTTCAGGATACTGCCAAACTCATGGTCAGGTATCACACCTACAACAAAATACAAATACTCTGAAGACTTGACGGTGACCAGATGTGAGATTCAGGCTAATCTGCTAACCTGAAACTGATACATTTTTTTCCTTTACTGTTCCTCTTCTGTCAGTTCTATTGAGTTCAAACTTGTAGCAAAATTGACGCATTGAGACATGGTCATGCTGGATCATCCTGTCAAATATGCATGATATTTCGAGCTTAGATGTCACACTTCCCTTCAATCACCTCCACATCAAACATCCCACAATCATTTCCACATCACACATCCCAATAATCACTTCCATATAACATATCTACACAACCACTTTCACATAACACAATCACTTCCACATAACACATCCACACAATCATTTCCACATCACACATCCCCACAATCACTTCCACATAACACATCTACACAATCATTTCCACATCACACATCCCAATAATCACTTTCATATAACATATCGACACAACCACTTTTACATAACACAATCACTTCCACATAACACATCTACACAATCATTTCCGCATCACACAACACACAATCACCTCCACATAACACATCCCCACAATCACTTCCACATCACACATCCCCACAATCACCTCCACATCACACATCCCCACAATTACCTCCACATCACACATCCCCACAATCACCTCCACATCACACATCCCCACAATTACCTCCACATAACACATCCCCACAATCACCTCCACATCACACATCACCACAATTACCTCCACATCACACATCCCTACAATTACCTCCACATCACACATCCCCCACAATCCCCACTTCCACATAACACATCCCCACAATTACCTCCACATCACACATCCCTACAATTACTTCCACATCACACATCCCTACAATCACTTCCACATCACATCACACATCCTACAATTACTTCCACATCACACATCCCTCACAATTACCTCCACATAACACATCCCCACAATTACCTCCCACATCACACATCCCTACAATTACCTCCACATAACACATCCCCACAATCACTTCCACATCACACATCCCTACAATTACCTCCACATCACACATCCCTACAATTACCTCCACATCACACATCCCCACAATCACTTCCACATCACACATCCCTACAATTACCTCCACATCACACATCCCTACAATTACCTCCACATCACACATCCCCACAATTACCTCCACATCACACATCCCTACAATTACCTCCACATCACACATCCCCACAATCACTTCCACATCACACATCCCCACAATCACCTCCACATCACACATCACCACAATTACCTCCACATCACACATCCCCACAATCACCTCAACATCACACATCCCCACAATCACTTCCACATCACACATCCCTACAATCACTTCCACACAACACATCCCCAGCGTCAACCACCATCATGTCCACATCGTACAGTTGCACCCTGTCACTCCTGCTCCTCTATATCACCCTCTGTTACCATTATCTTCCATCTGTTCCATGAGATCAATGGCACATTGCTGCTGACGAGGGTAGTGCATCAACTCGACCTGCCAGGAGCTATTCGGGATCATCTTCTCAGGGGGAAATATCTCCAGCAGCTTCTTGTATGTAGCAAGATCATTGACCACCTTGAAGTCCTTCATCTTACTCAAGGCTGAGTATAGAAACTCAACATGTCCTCGTCTGTACACACTCTCCTTGGCAATGTACATCTCCACAGCTATCTCAAATGACAGCTTGTTGGCTTCCCTCAGCCTAGTAACTTCAGTGAAATGTTCTGCTGCCTTGCTCTGAAGCTGCTGTTCAGTCTTGTAGGTCTGGACGTCTCTGGCCAGTGACCTGGAGGATGTGAGAAGTGACCGGCACTGGACATGCTGTTGCTGGACAATCAGCTTCTGCAGCATCCATCTTGCACTTCGCGTCAAGGTCGCCATATTGGTCGATAGTCTTCACATTGTACCTGGTGTACAGTGAGATGTGTACAGATCAGTTTAGATATTGTTCAAGCATATGAAAGTTAATTAAGGATAAGGCCAGACCAATTTTATTTTTTGTTTTACAGATTTTTGTCCTAAGAATACCTAAAGGCAGGAGGGAAAAAAAAATCACCAGTCAAAGTAATATTCCTTCTTAATACTAAAAGTATTTCATTTTTGGCAATTTGTGAAGTGAATATTGGGCAAAGACCAATCTCAAAAAGATTTTCTTGTAAGTTTACAATATTTGCCAATACAAACATTAGGATTTATTTTTTGAGCAGGGAAAATCAAATTATATTTTTGTTCTTATTCTTGAAAAAATACGACCGACGGATCTGTAAAACAAGAAATAAAACAGGTCTGGCCTAATTAAGTAATACAGAACAGTATTTCAGTTATATCACAGCGCAGGGTTGGGGAAAGCCAGAAGAGAACACCAACATTTGTGGATGTGGCGTAGATAAATAATCACAAGGCGAGCAAATCTACAAGTTCACCTAATGACCTGCAGATCCTTGTATGTCTAGGCGAGCAAATCTAGAAGTTCACCTAATGACCTGCAGATCCTTGTATGTCTAGGCGAGCAAATCTAGAAGTTCACCTAATGACCTGCAGATCCTTGTATGTCTAGGCGAGCAAATCTAGAAGTTCACCTAATGACCTGCAGATCCTTGTATGTCTAGGCGAGCAAATCTAGAAGTTCACCTAATTACCTGCAGATCCTTGTATGTCTAGGCGAGCAAATCTAGAAGTTCACCTAATGACCTGCAGATCCTTGTATGTCTGCAGTCTAACTTTGTAATTTGATGTCCTAACAATTTTACTTCTCTCATAGCAGGAACCTATCTAAATTTGTCTTGGGGTCATATTTGAAATATTTTGGTCAATCATGAAAATGAGTAAACTATGAAATAACAGGCTGACAGGTAAACAATATTGATGGCATACTGTCTGGTCAGAGTCAAGCTGTTTGACTGCAACTTTCTGGTGAACACCAGAAGAGTGAGTGGATGTTGCCAGCAATAATCCAGCTTTATCAATGTCTGTTGATAATTGAAGTTTTGGCCAGACAAACCAGGGACTGATAACAGTAGTACAAACCCAACCTCCAGGATACAATCACACATGACTGGAGGCGTGGTGGGCGAGCTGTCTAAAGTGCCAGGCTAGTGATCCAGTGAACGAGAGGTGCCGGGATTGACCCCACCTGTGACCGGGTGTAAAAACCTTGGAGTCAACTTTGTGTGCAGACTCTTTCAGTGTTGTCACAACCCCTAGTGTACAGTACACAACACTGTACACTTAAAAACACACATGAATACGTTAGTATATGACCAGATGGTGGCCACATGAATACGTGCAAACACCTAGTTGCGGGTTCAGCAACTTGCAGTAAACTTGGACAAAGTACTGTGACTATGTGTCCCAGTCTACCCAGCTGTGAATGGGTACCTCGTAGGGATGGGAAAGCCGAAACAACTTGGTGTGTTAAGTGGCTGCGAGAGTTGTATGCTCCACAGGTAGTTGAGATTGATAATACGATGTGCCACTGAGACTGACATTCAATGATCGAGGGACAAAAACCCAGCCACTTGAGCATGTACTAGTTGTGTGGATATGTGCGCTATATAAATATCCAACCCTATCCTATGATTAGCCAGGTGACATTGGAGACAAAATGTAACAAATCTGATATTCTTTAGTATGGTCTAGGTACGTCTTAAGTTACTGGACCACCTCCGTGGTTGGTGGTTAGAGCGTTCACCCGCAGACGGAAGGTTGCAGGTCCGATTCCCGGCCATGTCATACAAAATGATGTTAAAATATGGTACTTGTTGATCCCTGCCTGGTGCTCGGCATTAATAGGTACAACAAGGACTGGTCGGCTCGGAGTCAGTATAATGTGTCTGAGTGGGGTATTCATGCTTAACATCGGCGTTGTATCTCAGTGAGCTTATTCAGCTAGCACTATAAATAAAGTATAAAACCAGCTTAAGTCACCATTATCTTCATTATCTGGGCTTGTACAAGCAACCACACATACACCTGCATGCACGTCGTGATATGAGCGAAATATTCTCAGGTACGACATTAAACCCCATTTCACCCCACCTTAAGATATTGGGGACCTATTCTTCCTAGGATTCATGTATGGATGAGCAGTGGCTTTTGGGGACCTGCTCTGCCTTTGAATCACAGCAAGGAGCCATGGGGGCTCTGGAAACCTGCTCTGCCCTGGAATCCAAGCATTGAGACATATACAGGGCTATTGGGACCTGTTCTGGATTATAAATCACATCATGGAGACAATCATGGGGCTCTGAGAACCTACTGTGCCCTGGAATCACAGCATGGAAATACGATTGACAATCATCGGACTGTGGGAGGCTGTTGTGCCCAGGAATCACCTCAGAACATGCTTAAGAAAGAGAAATGGCATAATAAAAAAGTTATCATTCATCAAAAGTGTTTATTCATGAATACTGTTCTCATAACTCATGTCACACTTTTCAGCCACTGAACAACATAATGGTACAAAAGTACTAACCACAGTACAAAATGTCCTTACCAAACAAACAAATTATCAACATTATTAATCTGGCAGCACTGTATTGTGTTTCTCATCGCCCGACCGACCCTTCTAATTGTATTGCCTACACCCCCACCAAAACTTTTTTTTTCATACCAACGCCGCTGACTCGAACCTAAAACGTACCGACTCGTCATATAAAATGTTTATCTTTTAATCAGTCGCTGCCACAAGTCCAAAGAATGCAAGAAATTGTCATAAGAATTACAATAAATAAAAATCAAGATCATTATTCAGATAATTTTGTTTTTATGAAGGTTTGTCTGTTGCCTGACTGACCGACCCATGTTCAGAATTTGGTGGCTACGTGAAACACATAAATAAAAAGATGCCCTATTTGCATTCAGATGTTGATTTGTGTTTTTCGTCTTCTTTCTCTGTTTTACACCACTGTTTGACAATAGACTGACACAGAGCAACAGTATTGTCGCTTTGTTTGAACAAATGATGATGACCATGATGATCATTGTCAATCTGACAGTGTGATACCAGAAAGACATTAAGGATCAGATGGAATTTCAAAAAGCATGGCCATGTCTGGCCATAAAGTGGATCCCTTATTTGGTAACAATTTACATTGCTTAAATACTTAAAAATGGTTAGGTCTTTCTTGATCATGTTACTACTGTGATAAAGTGAAAAATTCAAAAAAAGAGAAAAATAATCAAAATTAGTGTCCTAACTCTATGATTACACAATGCCATTTAGAAAGTGGTCGCAGTGGCTGAACGGGTTAGGCGGCTGACTGTGTGTACTTGTGATTAGGTGCCTGACTCTGAGGGTGTGGGTTGAATCCTGCATGGGACTTGACCCAACAGAAGTACTAGAATCTGTACTTTACTAAGAAGATGTTATCCCAAATATAACATATGTTACTCCTAACTCTACTTGAAATATAATAATTTGAATAGAATCTGATTTTAATTACCCTATACACTAAATTATCACGTAGCGATAATGAGTAAAGCCTGTATTCAAAGTATAAAAAACACCCCTGAGGTTCTCTCAATTTCATCATGTTCATAAACATGTTAAAAGTATCAACTCTGAAGTTTAAGCTCATAAGGTTCAGATCCTAATACGATATTTTAAGTTTCTGATGGCAATTTCATCATTTGCCCAAAGAGGGTCCCATCCTGTGAATTAATTCTTCACAACAAGTTTTGGAATGAATGAGCCATTCAGTTTTAGATATGGTATATATGCTGTGTTTTCTACACCTTAAAGAGTACACAAGTAATTGTTTAGGATTGCTAACAAAAAAATGTAATTTTGTTCATAAATGGGAATTTTTACTGTCATTTGCTGCTGACCTGGTGCTGAATTAGAGAATATAGGCCACTGGGCAGGTCTAGATAAATTCCCATCACCACCAAAGGAATATGAGTATTCTGTTTGGTAATGGCTTATTATAATAATAAATGCTGATTCAATGTGGTGAAGAAATGTGGTGGTATTAGAAAGCTGACATCTGATTAAACCAAGAACCAATGCCTCTTTCGGTTAGATTAATGTTCGCTCAGGGTTCATCTGATGTGACCTTGAAAGGGGTCTTGAGATCTTGACACTGTTAGATGCCAAACCACGCAAACTGCTACTCATTATCAGCCATTACTGCAGTAGATGATGACAAAAACTTATATCTTCCTCAGGACGATAAACGGTTTAAACTAGTGGTGTTCCGATTAATTGAAATAGTCGAAGATTGGTCGCAGTGACCAAATTACCAAGAAATCGATCACAATTTCTCATAATCGAACATAAACGATTTTGGAACTACTGTTTAGTCTTTGAAAAACTTGATAATGGAACATATCGTAGAAGTTGTCAGGGCCTGAAAATGTGTTTAATTCTTAGAAAACTCACTTCACTAATGAAAAGCCATGACTGAATGTTTCTCTAAGACTCAAGGAAGTTTATGTTCATATTATATTAGTCATCACTTTAAAGTAACAAGTTGCATCATGTTATACATATCTGCAATAACAACCTGGATAGGAAAATCTGAAAAATGATGCTAATTAATTTTTTTCGATGATTGTTCGTTGGTAATGAAGCAATCATCAATTGTGAGATTTCAACCAACTCCCAACTCTAGTTTAAACCCAGAATGCTCCGAGTCATGACATATTTTGATTTAAACAGTTTGATGGCAAGGTTGCCATCATCATTAACACATCACAAACAATACATAAGGTTCAATGTGGTCCTGTTCAAGTGTCCGTGGGCACTGCAAAGACAGCATTATTTACTGACTTCTGAACACTATAATCATGTCTGCAGTTTTAATAAATACAAAGTGATTGAGTTAAACCAAATCAGGTTCAGTCTTCACTCTATCAGTGACAGGTTCCTGTTTTTCTTCCGTCTGAAATTTAACATTTAGAACCGTCTGCCTGGTTGTGTCCTCAGCAGCTATGACTATGTTCTCAGTAGGAGCATCTGTGTTGAACACGTCCTCACTAGAGTTGTCTTTACTCACTACGTCCTCAGTGGGGACTTCCTTGCTAATAACACCTTCTACATATTGCTCAGAGAGTATCTCCTCTCCAACTGTGTTCTCCTTGAGCACTTCCTCGCTAGCTGTGCTCTCTGTGAGGACCACATCTCCCCCCAGCCAGGACTTGATCATAAAGTGTCTGACTTACTTCAATAACTGTCACCACTATGTCCTGACCATCCACATTCACTAAAGCTTTCGGAGTGTCCACCAGCTGTCCTCCTGGATCAAGCAATCCTTCTGTTGCTGTGTTCAAATGGGCATCATGTTTTGCCTTAGGTCTTATAAGCATGTAGTCATGTTTCCCGGAGCTACCTGCTGGCGTTACAAGAACTCCACTGTTGTCAGTGTCTAACTTAATCACTTCTGACGTCAGCCCCGGGTCAGATTCAGGATCCCCACCAACAGCCATTTCTCTCTTATTCATAACTGATTCCGGTGTCTGACTAGCAACAGCAACTTCACCACTCTGGATGCAAACCTCCTCCACAATATCCCCAACTGGAACATCACTAATTCCCGTCTTTGAGTCTTTTTCTTCATGGGGTTGGACTAGAACTGTTTGTCTGTCAGCGACTTCACTATGTCCTGATGCTTCTTCCAAAGCCATTTCAACATCATTCTCTTGATTACTGCTACATGTCCCATAACTGTGATCACGATCAGCAGCTCTTGAGATGTGCCCCGAGACATCTTCCTCCATATCTGAATCAACTTCAAAGTCACTTGACTCTTCTTCGAACAAGCTGTCTTCATCTTCTTCATCAAAGTCCTCCCTAGACACCTTTGTCCTCTTAGACTGTTTAGGTTCCTTCTTAATTTCTCTTGCATGCTTCCTCTTTCTTCTCCTGAGAGTGCCTTCTTGATGCCTTGCTGTTGGCAGGTGATGAAGAATCTTTGGTTTGTAGGGATAGATTCCTGCTTCATGATAAGAAGCAATGATTGCAGGAGTAGTGAACACTTTCTCATAAGCCTTGCTGGCAATTCTACAGATATTGAACCGGTCAACCGTCTTATCCTGGTGCTTCAGAAGATAGGAGGAACATTCCTTATGGAAACATATGTCCATGGGGTTGAAGTTGGCAAGATTGTGAGGATCAACAGTGTATGTACAATGGGGCGGGATGACAAAGAGGATGATCCTATGCTCCAGAGCCCATCGGATCACAGGGAAGAGGATACGAGATCTATGGCCATCATAAAGGAGGAGAACATGAGTGTTTTCATCCTCTTCATCTGCTTCAAGGTTCTTCAGGAAGTGGTCCTTGAGGTAGTGTTGCATGATTCGACTGTTGGGGGCCCCGGACTCAGACATCACTGCCCCAAGTCCATCTGGTCCCCCTTTGGTTAGTTTGGCATTGGGTTTCTTTCCCTTGAAGATAAAGAAAGGAGGGAGCTTTAGTCCCAAGGCATTGAAACAGCTGAGGATGGTAGCTTCAGGTTCATGAGGCTCATCTGCATAGGTTAATGTAAGGGCAGTTTCAGATAGATTATATATTAAATGTGGTCGGTCCTTCAGATTGTTCTTGTCAAGAATGGACTCCAGCTCTTCATAATACTTCTTCTGTACATTTACAGGCGGGAAAGGACATTTTGCACGGAAGTGATACTCCATGTACGTGATCTTCTTCTTCTGTCTGTCCACAAACTTCTTTATCCAACCGCGACTCATTGGTCCTTCAGAAATATCCCTCTTACCATAGTAATGTCCATAATCTGCAGCTCCATCAGCAATGTCAATCTGGCGGTAACGATAGCCCACTGCCTTCAGCCTCAACATGTGTTTCACGAAGGACCTTTCATCTTCTTTCGGCATGAACGGGGGTGGTCCCGAGTGAACAGTGTTGACCTTTATCCTCCCCTGAACTCGGTCTCGGAGGGTGGATGCAGGAACACCATTCTTAATGGCGGCTGAGCGGATGGACATTTTGTTTTCCATGACATCCTTGAAGGCGTTCTCCACATCCTGAAGATCATAGTTCCTGTACTTGGATGTTCTACTCTCAACCTTCGCTGGTGAGCCAGATGTCTTCTTCGCTTTGGCCTGAAAATAGAGGAATGCTTTATGACTGACGTGGAAACATTTCACAAAGGGAGCCTACTGCGGTTACTTTGCTGATGATTTTCCTTGTTCTTGGTTTGTATAATATACCATAAATTTGAATCAAAAACACTAACATGTTTTTTTGTAATTTGCTAACGTCTTACCTGAATTGCACAAAGCATAAAGCACTGTGTATCAGGATATTTATAAATTTAGTTACAGTCAAACAACACTGTCAGAGCTCCAGATAAGATTTAGCTCATGTGGGTACTGTACCCAATGTATTTTTTTGAGTGGGTATTATGAATGTTGAGTGGGTATTTCATTTTCCGTTACCCACTGCTTTCAAATATGTGCGTATTTCAGTCATTTTACTCACCTTAGTATATGCCATTGAGTAAGTTTACTAAGCAGGTATGTTCTGCCTTATGTCATACCTAATCAAAACCAACTTAAATATAATGGAAATGATTTCATAAAAAATCACTCATCCTATACTGACAGTACAACACTTGTCCTATACTAACAGTACAACTTGATAGCAATCGATGTCTTTTTCATTACGCAAGCGATGTTTATAAATATATTCTGTAAGCATTTGTTTTAAACTTTCTGCGTATCTGACATTTTAAATGCATAATTGGTATGCAACAATTATTTTTCAATGCGTAATTCTATGCGTATTTTACAGGGATACACAGCTTATCTGGGCCTCTGCACTGTGTTGATGTTAAAGGAAACTTAAGTTCAAGAGCATCAAATACTCCCAAGTTATCCAAGGTTTGACACAACAGTAAAATACGAGAAAGCATACAAAGCAAATTTTATTATTTTTACGTACATCTGTACGTTTAACATATTAAAGTTAGACACAAAAGTGTATGACTCTAGTTCTGACTGAGTTCAAACTTCAGCAGCGAGATCTCAATGACTACATCTTCTTTATCTGGCTCTTTAAACAACCTATATAATGGATACCTGTCTTTTTGATGAATCTCCAAAAAGCTGCACAATACACCATTACTTCAACCAACTTCCAAGTCTACTTAGTTTAATTACGAACACAACAATATACCACCTCAGCCTATCCGAGGATACGGATCGTCTAGTATCTGTTAAGTGTCACGTTCTGGTTAGCAGAGTCTTCAGAAGATTTGGAAACAGAATATTCATACTTTTATCACTGTATGTGTGATGAATGTAAATAAAAAACAAAACTAGGAATTCTCTAAATTAACAGACTGCAAGTATCTGACAAATCAGTTATTCCTATGTACAGTGATTCTGCTGAAGATACATGGTACTGGTATTGCTACATTTTCATCACATCTGCTTATTGTGAGACCTTTTTCTTTCTTTATCAAACACTACCAATTTATAAAGACTTTATGTCAACCAGTCAGTGTGTATAGGAAAATGAACCAATCTAAAACCATGATTATATCACTTTACTGGTTGGGATAATTGGCTGTGAGCATGAAAAATCATAGTCACTGATTAATGAAGTTTCTTTCGAAACATGTAAAGTGAAAGGGGTGCAGGCTAAAACGGAACCACAGCAAAACGGCACCTGGCGAAAACGGCACCATTTTGACATAACGGAACCTCGACTTGGCGAAAACGGCTACAAATCTTATGGCGAAAACGGCACAAACTAAAATCTTATGGGGAAAACTAGTTTGTTATAAGATAATCGGATTGCAGATAATAAATACATCTACTATTATGTCGGAACTATCAAAATTTAAGAACAAGGATGTATTTTTATATTCAAGGATACGATGTGAAAACTACTTTATACGGTAACGGCGCATTGAATAACTCATTACAACAGTTCATTTCTAAAAGTAACCGCTTACAGTAATTATCAAATCAACGTATATATTCAATGTAAGGCAAGTTTTATATATTTGATTTTCTGCGGCTGCTCATTTCGTTGCTAGGCATATCCAACACTATACCGAACATATTTATTATTCAATCATTTATCTGTTATTTTGTCACAGTATTTTTCTTTTGTTGTCAGCAAATAACAACAACCCATTGTTTGTTAGTTTTTTAGTTTTATGGAGATTTTTTTCTTTTTGGGTATACATAACATAATAATTTTTCTGAATATACATAACATATACATGTATTATGCAAGCTTAATGATGTTTCACTTTTTCATATTTTACCATTTTTATTAGACATTTCCTGAAATTTTGTCACTGCCGTTACGAAATTTGTAACATCATTTTGAAAAGAAAAAATCCAAAGATAATATTTATTTCATGTACATATATATTAAAATATCTAGTTTTACAATATAACATGGAGTTTTGAAATTGTATATTTATTGCTTATGAAAAAGACAAAAAAATTCAAATGCCACATCTGTGCCATCAGCCACTGGAGTTGTGACACATGAACATTGAGTAAAATTTGGGTGGTTTAAAGTTAATATAAAAATATAGTTTCCCTACTTTTGTTACTGTAAAGTGCAGAAAAATATTGTGATAAGTTAGTTACCATAATTTTGGGGTTTGATTTTGACTTAAGTTTGTCGGATACAAACATCTGACATAAATATGCACGGATTTTGAGAATGACTCATATGTTGATATAATCTTGCTGATGTTATAATGAAATGAAATAAAACATGAGTCAACGTCATACTTTGTTTTATATATGGTGCCGTTTTAGCCCAGAAATCAGTAGCCGTTTTCGTCAATATGGTGCCGTTTTCGCCACACAAATTTGGTGCCGTTCTGCTGTGGTGCCGTTTTAGCTATAACCCAAGTGAAAGAAGGCGAACATTGGTAAATATTAAAAATTCCAACTGAACAAGCTAAATAATATAATACTAGGGGTGAAATGGTATATCGCTGTATTTTGCCTTCAGTTCAGTATACCGTAATCCAATCCAAATATTCGGTATTTCGGTTTTCATACCGTGACTGTCATTTTACTAACCTTATTAAACCTTTTCTAACATGTCTAGAAATTGAATCATTTTGTCAAACTCTAAGCATTTCTTTGCTACACACGACCGCTATTTTCCCAGAAGTAAGTTTTCATAAACCGAACCGAAATGGACTGAACCGAAGGCCTTGTATCGCAATATGTACCGTACCCTGGTAAGCATCAATCGATCCAGTTCATATCATTTGCCAGATGCTTTTACTTGCTTTTGGAGTATTCATGCTTACATATTATTCTAAGTTAATATATCAGAGCCCAGACAAGGCAAAACATGAATCAGGGATTACTGGGGATATTTTCTCTAAATTAATATTTATAAACATGTACAAGTTTGAGAAGGCCTTTGAAAATAGAGATCATAGTAGAACATGATGCCTTTTGTGGTGACAAATAGTGCTGTCATGCATGTGCGCGAAAACAGTGACCTCGCTATTTACAGATTTCGCTAACACTTCTGAGACAGTGTCAAGTTAGTAAGGCACATCGAGGGGCCATGGATGATTGATACTTACCGGATTCACCTTCTTCCTCGCCATAAGATGTGATTTTCACTTTGTAAAATTAGCACAAAATGTATTCGCCATATTCTCATCTCGCGTGACCGGTGTGCACGAAAACTATGACCCGTGGAAAAATGGAACACGACACGGAAAGGCAAAATTACGCGTTTGTTTCTAAGTATACTTTCTCATACGCACAAATGATCAATAACACATAATTTCATATTGGGATTTTAACTTTTAAATGATTCCACACAAACCTCTATGACATAAATGAAAGACGTATATACAATACATACGTCTTGGCATAAATGTTTTCTCAAAGTCAGTCGAGGGGAGGTAACTCAGCATACAATTTCTCCCTTGTCCTGCCACTAGTGAGTGCTTACTTGAAAGTGTCGAATGTCGAAAAATGTGCCTGTATTGTAAGATACAGAAGGAAGAACTACATCCACCCCAAACATTTAAACATTTAGATATCTCAACACATCTCAAAAATACATTTTAGAGTATTTTCCAGAAACATGATTAAATAATATCAATGATGAATAAGTAAATGGCTACTTTAGTATTTCCGCAAACATATATACATGTAATAGCAATACTGTAAGAAACAAGGTTTAGAAGTGTAATTATAGAATCTGTTCGCCACAAGGATTAGGGTTACGTTAGTGGCAAACACATTCCATTGGTACTACCACGAAACAAATTAATAGTCGTCATGCTGTTCACATTTTTTAATACAACTGTGGCAAGACATATTTATTTAGTTCACTCAAGGGTAAAATATCTTCTGTCTACTCAAAGCTACAATGAAGAAACTGACACAGCTTGTCAGTTATTTTATGTGAATGCCACCACTGGTGTTCCTAACATATGACATGAGTGGCCTAGCTTGTGGTGCTCGATCGAAACACTGATTCCCTAAGTTCAGTTCCCCACACGAGTACAACGTGTGGCATCCATACTGGTTTGTGCCATGTTTAATTGTACAGTACACAGCTTGGACTTGGAGTAACAGCTACTGGGTTGTGGAAACGGAAATACGCTGCTTCGAATAAACTAATCAAGTAGCTTGACCATATAATCTCTTATCGTTTTTGCAGGATATATTGCAAGTCACAAAATATCCTAATTGCATGTTGCTGCTCCATCGTTAACAACGACGAAGACGACAATTAACGATGATGATGATGATGATGATGATGATGATGATGATGATGATGAAAACTTATCACATTGACTGTGAAGGCATCCTAAAGATGGTTGGACTAGACACGTATATAGAGCGCATAAACCTTGAGTGGGCAATACCCAAAAAGTCAGGACGACGGTGTTGAGTAATTAATGGCAAAGACGATCATTTGATTACGTTTTTTAAGGAAACATGCTGTTAGCCGTATTTTCTCCTCTGCAGCTGGCATGTATTTATTATCTGGCAAACTATCTTCATTCTTATATTCCATCTTACTCCCCAATATATCAATATATGAGATATAAGAACTGACGTTCGTGTGCGTTCTTGTGTAATACTTTCTTTGATATGAATCTGTTGATCAGTCTCTTGAATATATTTTAGTCATTCGAATCAAATTAAGGTACAATAATGTGATATCAACAAAGGTTAAATTAAGATGTGAATATTAATGATTTAGTAAATATTGGATTTATTTTTTTGAAAATATGTAGACATAAGCGATCTGGTAGCGTTATGCTAATTCCCCAACAAATTTGTGTTAAAATAATATCTGAATATGGCACTTTTTGTATGAGTTTCAGGGCGTACTATCTTGGGCACTTTTATGAGGTGATGTTGGTCAATACCATGAAAACTGCGATGAGTATTAGATCCCAGGCACCCCATGTTTATCATAAATATCGACTCATGAGGATCAGGTGTTTCCAAAACGTGACCTGGTTGTGGGTGATCGTGACCTGAGGTCGTGGATCGTGCTATCAACCACTGGTATCCTGCCCTAGAGACAGTCAGTTACAATGAGCTGTAACCTAACCTGTCTACTGTATCCAACATATTAAGTATTGCCCTATGTCACAGACGCATGTATAGATATATGTGCCGTAAAGACAGTTGCGACAAAAGCGGTATCTGCTGACTCTAGATGACATTGAAGATCGTCGACGAAAATACTGCTAGAAGCGCCCATAAAATACGCCGCAGTTGACCCACATCGGACGAAGTGCTCTCCGCCATTGTAAACAGCGGCCGACCGTCTTGTGTTAGGCAACATGTCCGCCGATCATAGCTACTCTGTATTGTTTGGTAAGGTCGTCCATGAGTAATTCGTGCAGCTGCATAAAAACCCACAATACTGACCCTAGGTATGATAAGAGAGTTTTAGGAGAGTTGTCATTTAGATGGACGAAGACTGGATGTTGTGCATTTATGCATGCAACTCGTCTTCGTTTTTAACATGATTTTAAACATCAGATATCGAGTGTACTATGCAAGTATTCGTAGCTATACTGTCAGTGTTCAATATTATGAATAAGTTTGTCTGATTTGAAGACATATTTTACATTGTTATTATGTGTTGACGAGGGGCACACAATGGGAAGGACCTACAAAGGGACATAACTTTACTTTTGCAAGACATGCAAGAAATGTTATCCGGTAACGTGCACGTATGATATCACGTTTTGACCATTTTCAAGACAACCATAACATATATATACTATTGTATACAATGTATTCCCTATGGGAATCCTAATGTATATATTCACTATCAAAGAAGAAGTAAACTGTTACCAAATATTTTTGAATTACATCGGTTTATTTCATACCATGTCTATTTTAAGAAGACACAAACTTAATTTGTCTTGTGCCATTTCTTCATCAGCACCATCATGATATTGTATCTGTATGTTCTTGACAATGTTGTTGCAGCATCAAAGGATGGTAACGAGGCCAAAAGTAAAGAGTTCAAGGATTTCGATAATGTCATCTCCGAATTTATGAAGGATCAAGGAATTCCTGGTCTCGCGTTGATAATCAGTTTCCATGGAAACGTGATATATAAGCAAGGTAGGTCAAGGGTATACACATCCACGTTTAATAACAGAGGTGACAAATATGGAACACGACACCCAGTCTCGTATTGAAGGGTAGATATAGAACACCGTAAATGCCGAAGAAGGCTCAATATTTGTTATGAATGAAAATTAGAAGGCCTAGCGTGACCTTTCGTGGATTGAATGTAGCGGAATCGCTACTATCCAATAGAACCAGACAATCTTATAGAACCATCTCGACAACCTTACATCTGAAACAGGGGCGGATGGTTAAATATCGCCCCCATGGGCACAAGTCTCATTATCCCGTGGGTCATCAATGAAATTATGCTACATAGGAAATTATTCAATGTCATGATTAAGGTATTATGTTTGTGTTCAAGGCATTTAGTCCCTATCAAGTAGCCAATGAATTATTACATCATTGCATACATTAACATACCCGTCAATATAACAAACAAACATAAATTAAGAGAGAAGTATTTCAGAACTATAGTCTGTTTGCGGTGAAAACGTACCGATGAATTTCACTTTAAACAAAAATGTAAATGAAATAAAGAGAAGTTTAGATTGCGAATCCTCATAATTTTACATTGCCATTTCAACATTTAAATCTCAGATTTTTATTCAACTTAGGATAAAAGTTGTTTAACAAACGATCATTGTTTCAAATCGGTATTATTGGTTTGTATTACAAGGGGGTATGCACATTAAATGAAACACCGAGAACAAGGAGGGTTGGTCTAAGTTAACGCTCATCACGTACCGCACGTGCATTTGTTTCACTGTTCCAACTACTGCGCTTACCCCCTCGTAATACAAACCGATATAAGTCATTTGAAACAATGATCGTTTGTTAAACAACTTTTTTCCTAAGTTGAATAAAATTCTAAGATTTAATTTTTAAATTGGCAAGGTAGAATTATGAGGATTCGCAATCTTAATTTCACTGTATTCGATTTACATTTTTGTTTAAAGTGAAATTCACCGGTACGTTTTCACTGCAAACAGACTATAGTCATATTGTTAAATTGATTTATTATAGTTCCCGTTGAATGCCAACAGATGATCGGTACTAGCAATGTGTATTTCAGGCTACGGGATGGCAGGTGTTAACAGACCAGTGACGTCATCATCTCGGTTCCGCATCGCGAGCATTAGCAAACCTCTCACAGCCATAGGCCTGATGCGACTGGTCGAGCAGGGTCAGCTGACCCTAGACGATAAGGTGTTTGGGCCCAAGGGTAAGGAAGATGGAAGCGTTTTGCGTTTTGTTCAATGAACTGTTCTGTTTAAGTACCATTTCACAAGGTGTATATACTCTCCTTTTGAAGGTGATGGGTAATTAGGATTTATCCGTAATGCATGTTTTTAGGTACCGACCGCCTTCTTGGTCTAGTAGATAAAGAGTCGACCTGGAGAGACGGATATTTTATACCCTGATAATGTTTGGTTCACGGAAACAAAATACTTGCTTGTTGTCTTGAAACGATTGTTCGCCTGTTCCCTCAAATGTAGTTTTTAAATCAATGGCCGAAAAGGAAAAATCCCTTTCCCAATGTTAAAACATTCCATAAATCACAATAACATTAAATCTATTCACATCCCAGAAAAGATGTCAAAGTTGGGATCATTTTCGATTATCTCGTATATTATGTGTTCATTGTGTACAGCGATAGATACCCTGGATATATTCGTTATCACAACTTCATTGTCACAATATATATCAGATTCTCTTATCACTTACTTCCGACAGTGATTATCCCGTTGGGATGGGTATTTTCAACATTTGTCATCATTAGTCATCCGACTTGATTTTGAGCAGCGAATGAATCCAGTGTAGTCATCAGCCAGAATGGCTAATAAATACACTTATTTTATTTTTTAAAATTTTTTTTATTCATTCAGGATCAGTAGATACAAATATACAAAGTACATGATGTAACAGCACTTGTACACCGTAAAACAGATATTCATATGGGTTGGCATTACACATATTGGAATCTTCATTAAGCTGGGAATGTGTGCAGTAGAGATGACCATTTTCTGTCAAATTGTAATATGTTTTGATTCTTACTGGCAATAAACTTTTCTGTCTTGAAAATATCACTCAATATTTTTACAAATGTATCCATTGATAACGTATTTTTTTTAATACTTGATATATGGATATATTTTTTTACTGGCAAGAAGTATGTGGTTCATAAGGTCGTTATTATTTCCGCCAATTAAGACTGTATATTTTGTCAGGGTAAAATTTTCTGATGATTTATCTTCAATATATTCTTTCAGTTTCAGCCAGAACGTTTTCACACACTCACATTCCCAATAAACATGTATAAAATTTTCTGACATTAAATTACAAAATGAGCAAAGTTCATCATCTACTAATTTCATTCTCAATAATTCTTTCTTTGTGTAGACAATATTGTGGATAAATTTAAACTGGAAATCAATCAATTTAGTATCTTTTGTACATCTTCTATATTTTCTAAAAATATCTTGCCATGGAATTGCAATATCAAAGATATTTTGCCATTTTTCACATGTTGAAGGTACACTTTATGATCCTGGCATGGAATTACGAGTGTCATATTTTAAGTGAATCATATCTTTTGCCCTCACAGTGGGCGCTTGATGGGGTAGCCAGTGGTGAAAGTGCTCGCTCGTCACGCCGTAGACCGTGTTTGATTCCCGACAGGGACGCCGTAATATGTGTAACATGAATCGTATGATGATTCAGACTTGATCACATACTTTCTTTGTGGTCATTCTGCCCTGAAACCTGAACACCCACTTATTCTCCTCAGTCACATTGCCCTCCCCTGAATCCCGAATACTAGTTCACCTAAATGTGCTGAGCGCCGTGGAATGGGTTCGAGTTAAGCTTAATTTCCGAAACAACATAGAAGAAAACTACTACTTTTCCCGTCCCGTGTCCCAAATTCCGAATACCATGTAAACAGCCTTTGGCATCCCACTGTTACAAAAAAGGTTGGGAGCTGCGTTTAACATCACTAGGTACATCTCGTTGTTAGGTTGGTAATTGAATAATTCTTGTCTAGGTCAGCGTTGAAAGGTAATCCTCATTTGTTATCTTCCAGATAATGTCCAATATACCAACCCTTTGTTGTGATACAACAAGAGTAAAGTATCACTTTTACTTTTGTAGGCATCCTGAAAGAATTCAAACCAAGCGCCAAGGGAGATAAGCGTGTTTTACAGATAACAGTTCGTCATCTGCTGCATCACTCGGCCGGCTGGGATCGGGATCAGGCGGGAGACCCGGTCTTCTTCAACCTCGACGCCATAGACGCAAAACACGGAGTCGTCTCACCTATCAGTGACCAGTTTAATGTCAAACTGGTAAAATTTATGATGACAAGGAAGTTGCAGTTTGCACCAGGTTATGCAACAGTAAAATACTTTTATTTGCCCCGAACAATATTGTTTTAATTGATACGCCATTGCATGATGGGTTTTCAAGTCCGGAAACATTCCACGGTTTCACACGGGCTAGTGTAGGCGAGAGCCCCGATGCGGTCTTATACAGTCAAGACATGACATGCATCGAGGCTCTCGGCTAGAACTAGTGTGACCCAGTCGTCAAATGTTTCAAATTCGCAGTGCAGAGTTCAGTTCCATGCATACGCTAGGAACCTATGGGATCCCCGGTTCACCCACAACCTGTTTCTGGGACAGCCAGCACCATACCGTGTGTGTGGGTTTCACCGAAATGGTAAACGTCTGAATCCTGCTTCAGTTCGGGTCTTCCCCCCCCGCATTAATTTGACACGCCGTAATATAACTGGAATACTATTACAAGCCGCGTTAAACCTAACTGACGAGTATTTCGTTGGACGCAAACTCAAACACATCATTCATGAATTTGCAGCTGTATCGACTAGACCTCTGTTGCCATAGCTACATCATTCATCCTGAACGATCACGGATTTCATTTGACAATAGGCTTCTTTATGACAACCCACCATGATGAAATTATGAATATGTAAATTAAAAAAGGGAAAATTAATTCAAGTAACCACTAGTATTTGCAAATGCAATGTATTAGAATTTTTAATCATCAAGAGATCTTTAGCAGCTATATTTGATCATACTCTGTCATGGTTCTCGTGAATAACTAGACACACCATGATGCAAACGAAGAATGTCCTCGTCTCATGTCTTTACATACGCAGAGTTCATGCGATGCCTTTACCACTTGTATACTTGTTTCAGGTAAACACACAGAATATATGTGCTGTGAAAGGTCGAATACACCAGGAATACAATCATGTTAAATGTGGAATGTATTTCATTATGACACCATACAACTAACACAGTGTCTTGTCCCTGTAGGTAAACGTCATGCATATTCCAACTTTGGCTTCCTGGTTCTGGGTTTGGTGTTGGAGAGAATTACACAGATGAAATACGAAACCTTTATGAGGACGATCTTTCTGAGAATGGGTCTCCATCGACTACGAGTGGGCTTCACGAAACGGATCCTCTGTGATACAGATGAGGTGTTTGCTGTTAATTACTGCCAAAGAATCTTAATTGCATATTTTGATGTATAAACGTATCTGTTTTTCATTCTCTCTTCTTTTTGTTTCATCAAAGATAGCATACAAACTATGAATTTCTCAACAATTTTGCATTATTTATCAAAGAGTACAATTTTGTTAATTTGGAAACTCGCCTTCAAAAAATACATACTTCCAAAATGAATTAGGATGAAACGTTTGTAAAGAATGTGATGTGCTGATCACATATTGGTTTTATTATTGGTTTTATGAAAATGTATGTAAGAACACGATGCTTTGTATTTGTGAAAGCAGTAATGGTATTACTGATGTTTCAGGTTGAATATTTCAACAATAGAGACCCAGCCATCCTGAAGTCCCTCTTTCCCAACGAGGGTTTGGTCCTGCCTCAATACGGTTCCTTCAGTATGGAGAACACAGGAGCATACGGAGGCTGGGTGGCATCAGTGGGCGACCTGTTGGCCGTACTGCATTCTCTGCAGCGTGTCTGTGGAGATGAAAATTCTGTAGGGAGCATCAAATATACCCAAGGACCAGACCCAAAGAGCTGCCAGACACCTCCAGGGCGTAAGGAGAGGCTTCAGAGTTGGCATCAATCCACATCTAATATTGATGTTAAACCAATAGATCATGATGGTCAGAGTGCAAGGCAGAGGGATGCAGATGGGATGCATAATGAGGCTGATGTTAAGAGGATAAAATTCTGTCACCGATATGTCAAAGATAGCTGTTTCACATATGAAGATTCCGCACCTCGTCACCAGTCTGAGGTGGAGATTTGCGAGTGTGATACGTCTCAGGATTGTGATGCTGATATGTCCCACAGCTGTCTGGAGTGTCAGACATTCACACCATTCGGGGTTCCAATTCAAGACAAATACCCTCCCTTGAATAGCTATTGTGAGTTTGAGAGTCAAAGGAACAATTGGGTGAATGATGACACAGCTGGAAATGCTGACTGTAAACAAAAAGAATCATTAGATAGCCCCAATCGTGAATGTTTACTTGAGGCTTTCACGGTTGCTGAAATGCTGGCCAGACCAGGCTGTCAGAATGGTAATCAGTGGTACGGTCTTGGTTTAGATGTCCAGGATTGTGGAACCTCTTTTGGACACACTGGAGCTATGGAAGGTTCGTGTGGGACAATGATGCATCATAAGTCAGGGTTTAGCTGGGTGATGTTAATGAATTCTTGGTCAAGAGACATGGATTTAGACGGACTTGTTAAATACGCCCTAAGTACTGTTAAAGGATACCCCCTCTATTATGAAGCAGATGAGGACAAGAACATTCACGAGATCAACTCTCAGGACGACCAAGAGAAGGTGCTGCTGCTTGTTCCTCTACCAGACGTCCAGGCACAGATTGCACATGCTGAGTCAGCTGGTTTTATGCTTACGTGGATTAATGCATCCAATATTGACATGAAAGTTTATTTTAATCTAATTTTTCGACAATCCATCACCCGTTGGTCGGTATATTTTGATATTGACGATGATGGCTTTTCTGTAATTCTTCAGCAGGAGGAAAATAGAGATCGTCAACCAGTTCTAATAGAATCATATACGAAAGATGACAAAATATTCTATTGTATTTTATTTCATGAAAGTACAGACCATAATCAAGGGCGAATAGTATCGCCAATAGTGCCCGCTAAAGTGTATCTCAAATTGATATCTGAAAAACGAGCTAGCGGCATGAAGGTGACCTGCCAGTCAGCATCTGTTTCAAACGGTGATATCTACGTATCGTCCATCTTTCGAAACACCGACGAAGACACCGATTCGTGGCTCCAGATAACACCGGAGGAGTTTCTCGTCGAGCAACAGCGACAGATGAAGAAATCTCGCGACTTAAAATATGTCAAGTTTTATTCTTTAGGCGAAGAACCCTTTGTCAGTGCTCTTTGGACAACTGATGCCAATGCCTCCAATCGATACCAGAGGTATGGTGCTTCCAAGTATGGTCTGTTACAAGAGCTGCGTGAAGCGGCCTCCAGGAACCTTAGACTTCAGTCATGCTCTTCGTATATGTCAGATGGTGTCTTGAACTTTGCAGCTGTGTGGAATCCATCTGATGTTTAAAAGCTGTGACCAGCTGCAAGCAGTGTTGTCGAGATGAAGGAGCAGATTGCTCGAAACAAAGGGAAGTTTTTACCAAAAAATGAATAAAAACTAAGACTATAGTTTCTTGTCGATAAACCGGAGCCAGATAATTGCAGATGGAATGAGACGCGTGAGTGAGTGAATGAGCAGTCTGTCATGTCCGATATGATATCTTCAGGTGGATAGACAAGAAAAAAGTTCCATACGTTTTCAACTTTGGTAAAATCTCACCATTGAGGCATCTAACAATAATTTATTCAAGAATGTTGGTTTTAAATCAAAACAGCTGATTCTGGCCCAGCCAAGGGACGTAACCGCGGCAACTAAAACGAATGGAGTAGCCGTCCCATTGAAGTAAATAACTTCTGATCCAACCTAAGATGACAGTTATGTTTTCTCGTGTAACGTGACAGTAGTTGCAAAATGACTGAGATACTGTCGATGGTAAATGTTCACTCACTCCCTTTAACCCGTAAAGATTCGGGTTAGAATTGATCTTCAGCAACCCATGCTTAACGTAAGAGGCGATTAACGGGATGGGGTGGTCAGGCTCGCTGACGTAGTTGATGTATGTCGTCATCGATGTTCATGATGTCAATCATGTTTTTCCAGATTCGTATATCGCTGGAAAATTGCCGAGTGTCGCGATAAACAACAATCTCACTCACTCTCTCACATTCAAATAGGACCGCCTTCGTGGTGTAGTGGTTAGAGCGTCCGCCCGGAAGGTCGCGGGTTCGATCCCCGACCGTGTCATCCCAAAAGACATTAAAATATGGTATACTTGTTGGTCCATGCCTGGCGCTCGGCATTAATGGGTACAACAAGGACTGGTCGGCTCGGAGTCAGTATAATGTGTCTGAGTAGGGTATTCATTCTTCACTGCGGCATGGTATCTCAGTGGGCTAGCACTATAAAACCAGCTTAAGTCTGGGCTAGTACAAGCAGCCGCACATACACATACACACGCATGCACGTCGTCATATGAGCGAAATATTCTCAAGCACGACGTTAAACCCAATTCCACCACCACCACCACTTTCAAATAGGTGAATGCCTTTTTTCTGAGGGGATACAAAGTGTATAAAAATGCATCTTCGGTGAACTAAGGACTGATGTCACTCCGTTTGTAATGAACAAATATCAAATATCACGCCAATACACGACTACATCACCTGTGCAAATAATTCAGCTCAAATCAATGCAGAACGTATGGTAAATAGTATACTTTGACATGTGTCAGCTGTTGCCTGTGAACTCTTCAGAAGCAACCGGAAAAAGAACAATTTACAAGCTGCCCACATGAACTGTACCGTGCACGTTCAATAACAGGCATCAATAGTGCTTATCATAAAAATGCAATTGTATCAACTGCAAGTCGGTTTCCTCCCCCCGGATACAAAATATACAGCAGCCAGAGTGAAAAATACCTCTGAGTGAGTGAGTGAGTGAGTTTACTTTTATGCCGCACTCCGCAATATTCCCGCTATATAGCGGCGGTCTGTAAATAACCTTTGAATGTTGCATCATTACATTTAGCATCTCTATTTGAGAGTAGTGGGACGCAACATATATGTTCCGTTTTTTCTCAGTATTACAAATTCACGCCTTGTTATGACCTCTTGATTGGAATTTTGTACGTTCGTGAGTTTAAGTACCGTCAAGATACTTTATTGACTTATATAACTTCTTATATATTATTGAAATACATCCTTCGGAAAGTATGTCAGGATGGGCAACTACAGTTGCCAGCAGCAGCAGCAATGGGCAACAATGTTGCATGCAGCAAATAGACAATCACTTTTCTGCTGTAAAGCAGACAATGATAAGGCAAAGCTTAAAGATTAATATCCGCTGAGAAGCAGAAGGGTTAAACAGAGCCGTCCTGCCATAATGTTGAATATTAATGATTGCAGCCACAAGACCCAGACCACCTAACATTTATTGACACAGGCAGGCATTTCGTGAAATGACTGTTTTGGTCAGTGAAGTGTGAATGGTTTCAATAAACGTATTGAATGTTAAGCACTGAATGAGATTATATAATGATACGACATTTCGGTATAGATTATTATACCATTGGCAAGCGAGAGAGTAAAGTTTTACGCCGCTTTTAGCATTATCCCAGCATTATCACGACGGGTGACATCATAGATGGGCTTGACACATTGTCACCATTTGGAGAACTGAACCCTTGGTCTTCGGCATGGCTAGCGAGCGCTTCAACCACTAGGCTACCCAAAAGCAGGAGTGAAGAAATACAGCATTATACATATTTACAAGGATTAATGATGACGACATGGGTGTGTTTGAATGGAAATATGAAATTGTTTCCTAAAGTAATTCAGTTTCCACTGAAAGAATGAGGTATCCATGGGATCTGTTGACTGAGGGCTTTACTGTTTTGACAGCTCTAAAATTCTCTCAAAATTCATGCTTTGGTTCCGTAAACATCCCTGAAAATGGAAATCTGTTCAAGCTGAACCTTTGGGGTTTGGTTTCGCTCTTTGATAGCGTATCTCTCCAAATCATTAGGATTTTAGCGTTTTGATTTTTAAATTTTTCAATATTTATATCGAAAATGTAAATGCTTCAGAGGCGTCTTTGTTGACCATGTCAGATTTAACTGCTGACTGAGTAACTCGGTTCACAGCATATTGTAGAAGCAGTGAATGAAAGTCCTTTCTCTTCATTTCTTCTTACCCTCAATGCACCCAAACAGGCTTTCGTGATGTAGCAGGAATATTGCTGACTTCAGCGTTAAACAATATTGACTCAGTCTCGTCGAAATAGAAACGTGTCAACTGTCCGGCTAAGATCACGCGTACGCTTTAACAATACGTTAAGGGTAGAGAAAGGTTATTGCATGATGTGTTAATTATATGTAACGAGAGCATCACCCAGCTGCCTCTGAAGCCTCTGGGTCTGATATGAGACAGACATGTCGATAGTGTTGACTTGAGGTGGTGCCAGGTTTTGGTGACATGAGCTTGTCAATATGAAGAAATGTACGTGTCAGCTGAATGGAAGGGTGGGCATATTTGCTCAATGCTGTGATACGTGGAATCATGGCTGTCTATGGTGCGGTTAGTAGCCACGTGGTTAAAATGTTCGTCGTAAGTCCGGGTTTGAATCCACACATGGATAATTGTATGAAGCCGTGGTAGTGCTGAATGTTGATAGGGACGTACTACGACACTCTGCATGTAGTGGTACAAATATAGTTTCAGTCGTCGTTAGAAATGTCATTTCATTTATGTCACGTCGGCTTCTGAGTCGAGTTTGGGCCTGACATATTAGTGGGTGATAGCATTAGCAATGATATATGCTATCGGGAAAAGATAACAAACACTTGGATAGGTCACACATTGTCTCCCAATTCCCAGTGTTTCTTGTAACAAGCATTGGACACTTGCCTATATATACCTATTTCGTAATATACCTTAATCTATTCAAGACTATAAATATCAGCGTCTTGGCAACACACATGTTTTTGTTGAACGCCGTACTAGACAATATTCCAGGCATATGAAGTAATTGAGTTTGAAACAGGGCCCCGTTACATAAAGCGAGCTTAGCGCTACGACTATCCTAAGACTTTGTTAACGCGTGGAAGTTACAATCATCTTAGCGCTAATTAAGCTTTGTGTAACGGGGCCTGGACTCTCCAGTGATCGACACCATAAGCCTGGATCTGCTGAAATAGGATATGATATCAGCGAACGAGTGCGTTGCGACCGAACCCGTTGGTCACCACTTGCGACAAGCATTGGCCGGTCATCACGGGGCCCATGGGCGAACGAGTTTAAATTTAAAGTTTTCGAAAAAAAATTTTCATTTTTTCATCCTTGGCATATATTCATAACAACTGCATGTTTAATTTGGTCAAATCCCTTGTCAGAAAGTGCCCACAGTGCAGAGAGTTTCTGGACTTTTGTGAGTCCAGAATTAAATTGTGACGTGTTAATATATTTCCCGTGTAGAAATTGATATGTAACGCGCTCTTTGTGTGTTGTAAATTCGTGTATCATGCTTTTTCCCAAAATCACACGTATATAATATATGTGTGTGAATATCCTTTATAGCTTTTGCATAATTCTCCTTAGTCGATTTATAAATTCGTTTAGTCATACAGAGTTTAATGTTGGTTCAGTCATCTAATTTTTCAAAATCATTTTCTTAAATATTTAATATTTACATATGCTAATACTATCTGTTTAATCTGAGAATCATCAGAAGTTACCTTTTAGTCGATTAATTCCGATTTTCACTTAAAATATAATTAAACAAACGATGTTGTATCCACGACAGATATGTACGGGTGCTCAGTCAGCTCTCGGGAAACTGTAACAGTTACTCTAATTTATGTTTTAAAATGTTATCCTATTAAAAGCGGATATTTTTTAGAATTTTGCCAAGTGCTCATCGGTATCTCTGATTATGTGTGGAAATCAATTCAATTTTCTGCACACATTCACCACATTTTAAACATTGTATTGGTCAGGTGGTTGCAAGTTTATTTCTTGCCCCCGTCTTCATCAAAGTTATTTTAACATTCTCAGTCATTTGACATGTTACAGACACTTTTGTCCCAGTGTATTTGCGATCGTTCTATATATTTTCTAATCACTATTCTCTACATTCTTTACGAAGATATTTATCTAATTATGATTTTGTGTAACTACTTTAATCATAAATGTTTCAATTCTTTCACTTTCACGTATACAAACCAACACGTAAAACTATTCATATCATAATACCCATCTTCAGAAAATCTCTGGAAAACGTCTCAAATATATTAAAGCCTATAATTGTCAATGTATTCATTGATACCTGGTAAAGTCGATTATGGAATTACACGTCGGATAACAGCATGGCTGGTTGTGAAGTGTGCCCTGACATCATCGATTTGGGTGCAGTTAATATTTACCTCAACTTCATACAACTTCATTGCCATCTATTAAGAAGGCAAGCTGTCACCAGACCTAGTGACGACTTCGAGAAACGAACAATACATGGCCGATCGAAGCGAAATAAAAGACGGCAAAGTTTGTTGGAAAGGCTTTGCCTTCGTTCTCTGGTTATGCTGTACGCTGAAGTTGGCTCGAAAATGAATGTTTTGGGTTGTTAAACTAAACACTTCAACAGGTAGGTTGGCGTTTTTTTGTGTGATATTTGAGACTGATTGTCCTGAAAGATTAAGGTGGTTCATTGATTAATGTGTTGACTGTGTATAGCATAAGGAGGTGAGCTACGGAACAAGTAGGTATATGTACCACTAATATGGCGGCTGTCGAAATGTCAGCGACTACCAATTTTGTGATGGTTTGACAGGATTGCGTTACGTATGTTCTATGTGTATATTCGTACAGGACCCGATCTCTCATTAAACAACTGTAATTGGTACATGGAAAGATGTTTGATATATATCGTTCAGAAATCTTAAAGTGCATTATTGGCATATAATTCAACATTTATGTGTGTAATATATACGTAATATATATGTACTGAAGTATTATTTTTATTGAAGTGGAAATTGATCCTGATAATTTATTTGTTCATCATAGTTACATTCGCGAAAAGCCCAACTAAAACTTCTCTATTTTTCTCAAAGAATTAAATATATTGACTTGATCAAAGCTGGATATGGACCCTCCCTGGTTTATACAAAACATATGTAACACGGACACAAACTTTAAATTAAAGCGGAATTAAACTTCAAATCAACAAGTTACTGTGCACAAGTGATGCTGAAATGCGTTTTTATGTGCATTAGCGGTGTCCGGCAGTGTGACTAATTCTTACAATACTTAAACGGCATCATTTTAGTGTGACCGAATCCAATACATTCAACTGTTACGATAATCTGATGTATGTTTGCTAAAGCCGTACTCCGCAACATTCCAGCTATATGACAGTTGTCTGTAAATAATCGAGTCTGGACCAGACAATCAAATGATCGATATCATGAGCATCTATAACCGCAATTGGGATACGATGACATTCACCAAGTAAGTGAGATAGTCTGACGGCCTAATCCTGCCAGTCGCCGCTTACTTTAAGCAGGGGTTTCAGTAAACCAACCTAGCCCGGATAATCAAAGGTTACAATAAACTGAAGTGTCTTGGAATATTTTGTTACCTGATATCAACAGGGTTTTGAGAACATTAATGATACTGATGATGAAAGTGTTAATGAGAACTATACATAGTATATCTACTATTTGTAAAACTCTGTGTACAACTACACAGTATCTGCTGTGCGTGGTACATTAGACTTTATCCTGTGTACACTTCTGGCCCCGATTTCTCGAAACAAACATAAGTTTTTACTCAAATCTCAAAATGAGTTTCACAATTTGAAACAGTTGAATTTTTAACTCAACTGCATTTTTAAAATATAAATGCCCAAACAACTTAAGTAATCTATCCACCAATTTAAATTGTCTACTATTAACACCGATTTCAGTTCATTCTGTGAAATGCATTTTCCTGCGTTTTTTCAAATTTGAGTAAAACTCGAACTTAAGTCAAAACTCAGACCTTTTGTTTCGAGAAATCGGGGCCTGACCTTCCTCAGACGTGATTAATTGAGTTGGCTTTAAAGCACCTTACACAGCATGGTGGTTGAGGAAGGCTGTGATATATGACGATTCCATACGTTGAGATATGATTTCATACCTTGTTCGCCTTATCAAGGCGAATCTGGGATTGAATACAACGACCAAAGGATCCTGGATCGTCTGTGGCACGCCTGGCAAATTGCTTTTTGGGCCGACTTAGCAAATCCATACTCTTTTCTCCTTAATTAAGCTGAGACAACAGATATATTATATTGAGCAAACTTTAAGGATAACAGTTCCTTTTATTTCGTGAGTGCGACGTTTCGATTCAGATTCCTGTACCGTTGTCAAGCATCAAAATAAAAGAAGTTGTTATCCATTAAGTGTGTTCAATATTGGACGCCCCAACTAAAATGTGACTCAAAGAAGACAGATATACTGTCAAACGCGGAATCAAACATCCGATCGAGGTTAATGTAAAACATAAATATCAATTTCATGATGAATAATATATTTAAAAAAACATGAAAAATATAGTATTTGTTAACAGTAACTTCAAAGGCAGAAACATTGTATCTCTAAGTAACATGCTGTGGGATAATATTGACATTGCGCACTGAGTTGGAAACGATTCATGGATCGTTTCACATCAGTTCCTGTCGTCAGGTAGTGACTGTACAGGCTTTACAGAGGATGCAATTCTGGTGTTCAGTTAATAATTTCTACATCATCCTCAGTGTTATGGAGTGTACTTGCTGTTTAGATGAGATAAAAAGGTTCACAGCGGGATAAACAGATCCGTTTGTCGGCCGGGTGAGTTGTTATCGGACCTAGACGGCATGGATCATTGCTCATGACGCATGTATCTGGATGGGGCGTCCCGCCAGGCCGACTTTTCAACCAAATGGACATGCAGATAGGTGCGCCAGGCCGATTTGCCGGTGTCCTTTGATATAATTAAGGCCACGTATCATTGTTATGACACTACGCCAGGCCGACTTGCTAGAAGGGGTTAAAATGAGCAAATGAACCTGATTGTCGGCCTGGCGGTACCTCCCAATCTGGATCCTCTGGTTCAGACACTGTTATTTACCACCCGTGAAGATCCGGGTTAGAATTGATCTTCAGCAACCTATGCTTGTCGTAAGAGGCGAATACGGGAGTATGCCAGCTATATGACGGCGGTCTGTAAATAAAGCCTGGACCAGACAACCCAGTGATCAACAATATGAGCATCGATCTACGCAACTGGGATACGATGAGATGTGTCAACCAAGTCAGCGAGCCTGATCACCCGATCCCATTGGTCGCCTCGTACGACAAGCATGGGACACTAAAGATCAATTCTAACCCGGATCTTCACGGATATATTGATATATAGGGTGAGGATTGTTTTGCTTCACTTCCAGTAATATTCCAGCATTGAAACGGCTACGTACACTGACACCACTACCTGCCTCCACACCACTGGTACAGAGACTGAACGAGCTGACTGATACTAAGATACAAAATGGTACTAAAGTCCGTTGCGTCTGCGAGGGGATACACAAAATACGGCACACGTCTATGTAGATAAATATACCATTGTTAGATAGCGTGTGTAAAATCTTAACTTTTCATTTTCAGAACGAGAGTAGTTGGACGAACCTTGATGGCTGACAGCCGTGCCCCGAGGGGAGGGGGTCTGACGGGGTGGCTCCCCCTCTTAGTGGGTCTGATGGTGACAGTGCACGTGACTACTGTCACTGCACATGGCGGAAACCCAAATACTGGTAAGGTGCACTTACTTTTGTCCTATAGTGTATATGTTTGACAAGCCCCATGAAATCCAAGCACTAGTGTTTCCATATGTGATTGATACATGATTATATTGAAATAATTAGTGATTAAAAGTCAATGGATGTATAATTGTTAGTCTTGTGGGACTGTTTGTTTGTATAATAATTGTAAATAGTAAATATGAAATATAGCAACAATTAAGAAAGAATAAAATTTTTAAATTTTAACATGGAAAACATGTCAATTTGTTTACCAATTCTAAAATTACCGCACTGTTTTTGACAACAGATAGAAATCACTTGGTTTTCATCAAACGGCTTGCTGTAATTTGAATTAATAAAGAGGGTGGTCTTCTGTCAACACGAGGAGAGAATACATCTTTTATGTTGTGGACAATGTACCATGATCTCGCAGACAACATCAGCAACAAAAATAGATGATATCAAGGATATAGTTTAGTTTGCCCAAGAATACATGCTGTGCTTGGCATTGTAGAATGATTGGTCAAAGTAACATTAAAATCAGGTAAAAACCGAAAAATTCTAAACATGTAGGTTGCGTGTAAAATAGTATCTGTGAGTCGTTTTCGCCCATGGGCGTGTTACCTTGCTGGAGAATCATTAGAGTATGAAAACAATCGTTTCCACGATGTGAAACTAGCATAATTTAAATACAATTTGAATTATATAATTTAAACAAAATTCCAATTCCCCCTGCTGATGAATCCAGGTTTCAAATTTAGAGCATGGTGGATCTGATCCCAGGAAAATCCATAAAATGCGGGATGGGAATAGTAGCATTGAAGTTAAAGCGTTCGCTTGTCATGCCGATAGGCCGGGTTCGATTCCCCACATGGGCGCAATTTATAAAGCTGTGATTTTGCTGGAATGTTTTATCGTAAAACTACATTCACTCACTCAATCACTCACTGCGGAATACATCTCTACAGTGGTGTGATTTTACCTTATCCTTTAACAATACATGCTCCGTGTAACCCTGTTTTAAGCAAATGTGACCTGTCCTGAATGTAAACTGCGAGTATTTTAACATTCAGAAAAATGCCTTTCAACAAACATTATTGCATAATCATCACTTCCGTCGAAACTGTATCCTAGATATCTGTACCACAAAGATATATATTTCTAAAGACATTTGACTTTATTTGTCTTCGTGTTCCGGTTCCCGTCATGCCTCAACCAAGTGCACGTGCCATCTGGCGCCATGTTGACTGAGTAGGCTGATTAAGTACCTAACCGACCTTAATGGCGTATATATTGACTACAAATACAGAACGAATACTAGATACAAATAAATACATGTTCGACCGGCTAGCAAGGGAAAGAACATGCTAATATACTCTACAGTATATGAAGACCTTGTTTGCATATACTCAGAGTATAAAGCGTCTCTGGTTTCAGAAATGCATAACGTAGTCTCTTGCTTTAATGCATTTCTGTTTGTTCGTTGAAAGGTGTGCTGTCAAAGGTTGTATTGTAATGGAAATAGGCATGTATTTGTGGTTTGATAGGCGTCAGGAATGATTAAGAGTAGGGAGTTTTTGACGAAATGACTTCATTGAACGTTTTCATTCCTGCTGATGAGTGATTTCTATAATTCCTTGTTTAAGGAAAATTGCGGAAATTTTCCAAACTGAATATATTTATTTATTTGCAAAGGTAATTTAATGGTTCACCTGAGAAAAACAAAACAAAAACAAGAAGACCCTCTTCCCCCTCCAGGAGACCTTAAAACCAAATATACACCTCCCCTTAAGAAACATAAACAACCCCTCACCTCCACCCCCAAAATAGAATATCACACCCCCTCCCCAAAAATATATTTAAAAAAACCTTAAAAGCAAAAACAACAACAACAACAACAGCCAAAAATCCCCCAGAAGCAAGACATGCATAACAAAACATGGAAACCTGTGGTACAAGTAGTAAAATGAGTGCGTGAGTTTAGTTTTACGCCGCATTCAGCAATATTCCAGCTATATGGCGGTGGTCTGTAAATAATCGAGTCTGGACCAGACAATACAGTGATCAACAGCATGAGCATCGATCTGCGCAATGGGGAACCGATGTCATGTGTCAACCAAGCCAGCGACCCTGACCACCCGATCCCATTAGTCGCCTCTTACGACAAGCATGGGTTACGGACTAATAGTAAAAAGGAATAGCATGATACATCGTCTTAGTCACTGGAGCGTCAGATTTAGAAATATGACAATCATGCAGAGTTTTGAAACGTTGTATCTAGGAAAAGTGTGTGCAATGTGGACGCTAAAGACTACAGATGCTAGGATATTGTTCCAAAGTCAACAAAGTTCAGGTCCCTCTTGACAAACAATAAATATTTTTGTCATTCTGATTATTTTTTATGTAGACAAATTGAATTGTTAAATTGGGTAGAGTTGTATTTCAAGTGGGTAAATAAGTAAAACAGAAGTGGTTTTTAAGTCTTTGATCATTCGGCCACAATTTGATATCGATCACGGATATATCTGAAACTTAATATATCCAAAGGCCTTATTTTGCTATTCCGAGCAATTATTTCGATTCATATGCATAAAAACAACAACGAGGAGCACAGTAGATGCCCACTGATATGGACAACGTAAGTGAAATATACAGGCATGGTACTGATAACTCTGTAATGCCGTTCACAGCACAAAGGTGGAACAAAAAAATAAATTTAAACATGAACAGTTACTTATATGTTACGGAATCCATTTTGTTTGTCATCTCACGGCGCTGTATCTGTGGGCGTCTTTATTGCACGATTATACGAAGATATAATGTGAATATTGACAGTGCCTGTAGGATGGTGGAACTTGAGGACTAAGATGGTTTATACGTTGATAGAGTTTGATAGGTGAAGTGATCATTGTGTAACACTGCCTGAAGGTTAACACGATCTGCATGTTTAAAAGATCTTATAGGTTGTTAAAATTCTCGGCCGGTTCTGTGCTGTCCCGGTATACATAATATTCTGATCAGGTATCTAAGAACGAAGCGCTGGGCAATAGTTCTTTATATGAAGACAAACAGATCTAAATGCCGATAATGCGCCCCTGTTTTACATAAGGTTTCTGATCATGTCAACATATGAACCTTTCAGGATGATTAATGCAATACTGATCGATAGAAGGTGAAAACGTTTGGGTAACTCAATACATGTATTGATGAGGCTGTCGAGGTGTGAACACACGTACATCCACGCAGAAAATTGATTTAGGTTGAGAAAGTCGCTTTTTCCCTGCAGCAGATCGTGACTTATGTGAATAATCGTCTCATTTGTGATGTCAGCGAGGTGCCAAGCATCCCGTTTCTTAGATATATAGCGATTCCGGTTGATAAATCCGGCAGATTTGATAAACTAATGAAGCAATTCTATATTTGCGAATATATTTCTATTGGCCGAATTGAACCACGGTTTCTCGTTGATTACTGTTTCCAGATCGGAAAATACTAACATGGGCGGCGCTTGTATTCTGTAATGTTACTGAACCATCGTTGTCTCTGATATCGCCTTGCTTTAAGTGCATTTGATAAAATAATCTGACGTTATTAGGTTTGACGTATCTACCAGTGAGAATAGATTTTTCAGTATATTTCACGGTTTCTATAATTGATTCGTTTTCAATATGTTTTGTGTTACTGGGAGTATATACATAAAACTGGCGTGCACATATTGCTCAAATTCTTTCAAATATACGCAAAAACAATATTGGACAATAAGTTCAGGGTTACAAACACAACTCAAATCTAGGATAACTATAGACAACAATGGGCTATGTACATTTTCTCTCTGATGTGAAGGTTATTTGGCACCAAACAGAAATGGTATTATTCAGGATGTATTGTTAATATAGGGTATTTATATAGCGCACATATCCACGCAACTGGTGCATGCTCAAGGCGCTGGTATTTTTACCCCACGATCACTGGATGTCGATCTCAACGGCACATCGTATTATCAATCTCAACTCGATGGGGAGTATACACCGAGTTACTCCACCGAGTTACTCCCCCAGTTGTTAATGAATTTGGGTCATAAGTAATGTCAAATAGACATCGGAATACATTATGATTATTTACATGTTCGTATTTATATCCTTATTTGCCCAAGAGTAGTGCCATCATAACACAAATTACAATTATGTCATATATTACATATAGCCATACTTACAATGTGTAGACTTTAAGACCATTGTTATGTTTCACTTGATTTGACTAAACGTTTACATAGTGAACACAAAATAAGTAGCAATTATTATGTCATCGGTTTCCATGCAGTTTATAGTTTCTCAGTGTTGACATGGCAACGGTTACAAAGATGCATGGTCACAATGGGTGATGCTTATGTTGCGATTGCCGGTTTGAAGAAGAAAGGATTAGGGGATATATATATCCTAGTCGGTTAAAGAGGTACAATTCACTGTGCTAAGTTAGATTCTTTTGTGTCTGTGACGGATATACCTCCTGTGGAGCAGGATACGCTCACTTTTTCGCAAAAATCTGATTGATATGATTCATAAACATATGTTTATGATATAGGCTTACAATGGACTCTTCCCTCCCCCCAGTTACAGCGTCTGACGTGCATTATTTGCATGTTCCCACAACATTAAACTGTCTCTTCGACGTTTCACTTACTCACAGTTTAAGCTACTCACTCACTCAATCGCTCAATCGCTCCTTCTCTCCTGCCTCTGCGCTGACTCCTGATCTGACAATAATCAGTCCCTATGGTCACCTCACAGGTGATCGGTGTGTGCCGTGGATATGCTCCTGCTTCTACTACGGCGTCTACTACGACAAGGGCGACGTGTGGGAGTCTCAGAGCGACCCCTGCACCAAGTTCCAGTGTATTGACAATGGCGTCTTCCTCCCTATACAGGCTGGTGAGTCTACTCAGCTAACACTTTCAAATATGTCTGTCCAATCAGATAGTCACGTTTCTGAAGGTATATCTGGCGTATCTGTTAGCAAACTGCATATATTAAAACAAGAATCATAGAAACGTAACATCAACATTAACATAATTGTACAATATATTTGTAAGTATTCCATGAAAATATTTCTTGTTGATAAATATTTCAAGATTATATTTCTTTCTTCGATTTCCTTATACTTTTAATGATAAAGGCTGGCGTTGTTGTTAATACGTTCGCTCGTCACCTCTAAGGTCCTGGTTCAAATCCTAATATTCATCAATGTATGAAGTCGCCATTCAAATTTTTTAGTTAAGTGGCGCAAAATACGGACTCATACTTCTAGAATTATGGTATTTTATTAATGATTTGGACTTCCAGGTTGTTCGTTCAAGGGCGAGTGTAAGGAAAGGAACAGCACGTGGACGGAGGGCTGTTTCCGGTACCGATGTAGCAATGATGGAGAGTTCTCAACATATGTGCTAGAAGAAGCGGGTAAGAGAACATCACCCTTGTCAACCCCTTAACACGAAGAAGGGAAATATACTATAGGCGATATTCCATTTTTGGGTGATATTAGTTGTATGATTGTATGGATTCAGAAAATTATTATTCCATTCACAACGTGTTATGAATTTCGTGCAAGCGTTTGTCATTACATGCTCGTGAACATGGTCGGGGTAAAATTCGAAATTTACATTGAAGTGAATTACACGTGTCAGTGCGTTGCTGTACATTTCAATGACAAATACCAGATTCTGAACTGTTTTTTGAACTCAAATGTGGCGGTGCTAGTCATGTCAGGAACGGCTACACGTGCGTGCAATTTGCATGATGGAAGTTCGAACAAGATAGAACGTTGTGGCACGAGGTTTAACGTTTCACAGTAATTAGCAGACTACAATCTGGAAAGCGACAGAAAAATAACGTTGATGATAGACGTCGATCTGTTCGACCAAGGGCGACAACTGGCCCAAAAGACCGTTTCATCAGAACTAGTTTGGGACGGAACCGTGTCAAAGTGTCTCTCAAACTGAAAAGGGTGTGATAACTGCGTATAACAGGATACATTTGCAAGTTATTCACGACCGTGTCACTGGAGCAGTACCACCGGCACGTGTCGCGCCGACATGGACGTCGTTTTGTGTTTCCGGATAACGACGCAAGAGCATACTGAGCTGGTATTGTTACTGAATACTGAGTTAGGAGTATGCCCCGTCGATTGTCTTGAGAACAGAGGCAGATTCATTTAACGACTTTTACCTTTCGTGGTAAAATGACCAGTTATTAAACAGAATGAATGGTCATCTGGCGTTCAACCACTAATGTTACATATGTACATGCATTTAGTACACTATTGAATTGTTTCTCCCAGCGTGTGTGTGGAAGGACGGCAACTGTTACAGTGTCGGGCAGAAGGCAGTGGAACACTGTGACACATTTGAGTGCCAGATAGACGACGGCTGCTACGTCATGAAGAAAGTCAAAACAGGTAGGAACATTTTGATTGTTGACCAAACCATTCTGATACGTACCAAACAACCTATGATTGTCGTGCGATACGGATATATGGATAGGATGGTGGGGTAGAAGACTTCGTTACTACTACTACTACTACTACTACTACTACTACTACTACTACTACTACTGCTGCTACTGCTATCACTACTACTACTGCTGCTTCTAGTACTACTTGATCGGGTGGTCAGTTTCGCTGATTTGGTTGACACATGTCATCATATCCCAACTGCATAGGTCGTAGATGTTGCTAATCACTAGATTGTCTGGTCCAGACTCGATTATTTATGAACCACCTTCATACAGCTGGAATATTGCTGGATGCGGCGTTAAACAAAAACAAACTTTAGTACTACTACTGCTACTAGTTCTTCTATAGCTGCTGCTGCTACTACAATAACTACTACTACTACTACTACTACTACTGCTGCTGCTACTAGTACTTCAGTAACCCATGTTTGTCATAATCTTGAGGCGACTAACGGAATCGGGTTGTCAAGCTCGCTGACTTGATTGACACACGTCATCGTATCCCAATTGCGTAATTCGATGCTCGTGCTGTCGATCACTGGATTGTCTTGTCCAGACTCGATTATTGTTGAGTGCGGCGTAAAAATAAACTCACTCACTCACTACTACTACGTTCCTTTAGTAATACTACTGCTACTACGACCAGTACGTGAAGGCACATCTTGTGCGATGAATGAAGGTATTCTTCAATATGTCCCTCTGAGACTTGTTCTTGTCCCTTAGGCTGCTTGACCCACGACGTGGAGAAGCCGTGCAAGCCGATGCTGAGTTTCTGGCAGGACGAGTGTGCAATATACCAGTGTACCGGTGAAAGACAGGACAAGCTGAGGGCCAGGATTCTCACACACTCGCATGGTGAGTGCTAAAATATACACGTTAAATAATAATAAATGTGAACTTATAATGCGCCTTTTCCATGCACAAGGCCCATGCTCAAAGCGCTAACAAAGTGGATGGGTAATATACATAAATACAATGAGGGACTAGTACTATGCAAAGTTCTACACAACTGAAATATACATGCATGTTTTGATTCTCATGCAGTAGTGGGATCCAGTGATATTGTATTAAACCAAAATGGACAAATAGTGTGTGTTGTTATATCAAGGTTATTTTTTGTCTATTAACGAGGATATCAACGATCACTACAGAGTAGTGTGGTTGTGAAATAATCATTGTACATTGTAAACACTGAAACATCTTCATAATTACATTTGGAACACTTGTTTGGTACAAGCTCGGTCCAAGTCATGGGGATGAGGATGAGGATCCTGGTAGTCATCTTAAAGATGTGCAATTTGCGAAAAAAATAACCAAAGAACTTGAGTTTTTTTTCTTTGGACATGATCACAGGAAACGACGCTAACCAATTATTTTCAATGATTGATCGGGAACCAATCACCAATTATACTACTGTGTCTGTGCATTGTGCATTGTGCACTGAAACATCCAATTACATTTAGACGGTTTTGAGTAAAGGGTTTGGGAATGAGGATGAGGACGAGGACGAGGGTAGTCTTGATGCATTAACTTTGAGATGGACATTATCATAAACTTTGGGAGGGATGAGGGAGATGTAATTGTGATGGTGGAGAAGTAGAGAGTCTCAAACGTCGACGTTGTCCATTATTCGAATATTAGGGGCGGTTGGGCAGCCCTGTGGTTTAAGCGTTCGCTCGTCACGCCGAAGGCACGGGTTCGATTCCACACATTGGTACATTGTGTAAAGCCCATTTCGGGTGTCCCCCGCTGTGATATTGCTGGAATATTGCTAAAAGCGGCGTAAGACCATACTCACTCACTCACTCAATTAGCATATTAGGATTTTAAGTACACATGCAAGTGACACATTTAGATTCATACCTCACCTTACACATGATGCTGCAGATGTGATGATGTGGCCTCGGGGTCACTACGCCCTGCCCGAGCCCATAGGGGGATGCCCCAACAACGGGGAGAACTTCTGGCGTGAGAGTTGGTTCAGACAGTGCGGGGACGGCTGCAACTACAAGTCCCAGGAGTTCTTCCTGAAGGGCAACTACACCGCCCACGAGTTCGACCACCACTACTGCGTGCACCACGACGTCGACGACCCCTCCATCATACCGCTGTATCAGACCTACTGGGAGCCTGGCCGGTACTGCATCCTCAGGTACAATGGGACGTGCCCGCCAGGTTGGTATCTTTCACGTAGTATATTTAGTGGGCGGTGGGGTAGCCTAGCGGTTAAAGCGTTCGCTCCTCACGCCGAAGACCCGGGTTCGATTCCCCACATGGGTACAATGTGTGGAGCCTATTTCTGGTATCCCCAGCCATGAGATTGCTGGAATATTGCTTAAACGGCGTAACACCAAACTCACTCACTCACAAATGAGAACTACGTTTGTGATCTGAAAAGCGAACGTCAAAGTTTGTAGACATAACTGGAATATTTTGTCTGTAGCTCACAGGAACCGATGTAGAGCATCAGTCAGTGAGTTTAGTTTAACGCCATCTTCAACATTATTTCGTCTCACTTGTCAGATTAATGTATGACAAAGTCTTAAGTAATGCAAGTCATCTGTGGTTAAAACTGCCACAGGTATGGTGCTGATGAACCGAGTACCACTGGCCCCACGATCATACGGTTCTTAAACGCCCAAGGGACACAACTCCTAACAGCAAAGAATAATTTATTGAAGGCTGGCATAATAACTATAACAAGGAAAACGTTTTGAAATTGAAAAGAATTTCGAAATGTACTCATTAAAATAATTCTGTTTCCTGATATTCCAGGCTTCGAAGAAGGATTCATACAGATGACAGGCAGTGATTGTAACGCTACCAACGTCACCCTCGGCATCCTTCCCGACGGCAACTACTCCTGCGCTGCCACGCGTATGGAGTTCTGCTGCAGATTCGACGGTGAAATCGAACGTCCCATCGTGCTTCCGGCCAAACACCAGTTTGTGTTGTTCATGGCTACAAATGAATCGGAATGTCAAGAGGTCAGAGGTAAAGGTCACATGGATATCGAAGTACCTTCCTGTAGATATACGTTTTATTGTGATTTGAAGTTGTTCGATATGGAAAGCCTATTTTAGTTCCTATGACGCGTCAAAACCGACTCGGTTTAGCTAAATTCACATTCTTTCAGGCGGCTTGCAAATTGTTTCTTCAGAACAGATTCACAGTTGAAATATTTTCAAGCCGACTCGGTTTAACTAAATTCACATTCTTTCAGGCGGCTTGCAAATTGTTTCTTCAGAACAGATCAAAGTACTAGTTGAAATATTCCGACAATGTCAAATGAAGCAGATAACACATTTACAACCTTTCCTTAAACACTGCATCTCTGTCCTTATAGCTGATGTGTGCGTGACATATTAAAGAGTCAAGATTATTTCCATATCCAAAAGAGATTTCTGCTAAAAGCAGTCCATAGTATGATTCCGACCCTATGAGGAACGTTTGTTGCATCCCGATAGAATAGTTATCGTCAAAGGTGTTCTTGATAAAGGTGAACGTATCCTACCCCACTGGTAGCACATGCCACAAACACACGCAAAGGCAAGTCAATTGTCTACAAGGTATATGGTAAAGTCAGACAGGGATTAGTATCGGACATACTTTATAACAGATGCGTGTTATTAGGAAATGCCATGTGTATGTCTATCACAAAATGTTTTGAAAGCTTTACTAAGACCTTGAATGTTGTAACGCTGCTCATACAACTATTGAGCGATAGTCGTACGAAGTCCTTTGAAATATTCGTAGCCAAAAGCTATGACCTGTAATAATATTATTATTAATAATAATAATAATAGTCCATTTATATTGCGCGTTTATCCATGCACATTGCATGCTCAAAGCGCTGACATATTACCCCCTGGTCAACGAGTACAGAACACTCCATGTGGAGAATACAACCGGTCGCCTGTCAGGCGCTCAAGGTTCAAATTCAGACTACCATCGTATCATACCAGGTACCCAATTTTACTGCTGGGTGGACAGAGGCAATTTTGAACAAACTCACTTGCCTAAGGTGAGACCACATGCGTCACATGTGCTTCGTTGTGGGGCAGTTGTGGAAGCTAAAGGCTGGAGCTCTTGGAATATTGGTAAACATAAAGGTGTTGCTTCCTATGTGTACCACTTTCGTAAACAGTTATGACAAACCAGGAAGCAGGGGGAACTAAGATTTGAATCAATATTTTGATCTTGTCTCTGCAAAAAGGACGCAGATGTGTATCGTGTTAGACACGTTTTTATCAGAACGCTATCAGTCTTCTGTATATATTGTTTTCAGGAATGAAGCACAAGATCCAGTTCTGGAGCTTCTGTGACTTGTATGACGGCGTGCAACGGATGATGAATGGGTCCTTACCCTTCGTCAAGACCGGGGACAACAACACCCTCATCAACTCCTGCTTCTATAGCCCCATCGGCTGCGGTAGGTGTCGCGACCCGCGCACATTGTACAACAATGTGGCATGAAATAACAATACATACACCAAGGTCACTTCACTATTGTTGCTTCAAAAAGGACGTCAGTCAGTTGTCACGCATTGTCATAGGACAAAGGCCATGTTTGGCTTCCTATTGGCTGATATATGAACAAATACATGTGAACACAACTAACGACTAATGCTTATACCACTACAACAGCACTATATCTGCCTTTAAGCACAGTTAGTGAGGAGTTGAAATAATAGGTGGGTTATACATATTTGGACGAGCATTTCAACATAATGTGGAAACAAAACCCAATGACACGATTTCACAAAACTATTGAACACTCGTATTGTGCTGACAAACTAATGCAATCACAATATGGGCATACATGGGATTCGAACCAAAGATTGTCATATTCTTGCACGAATAAGTTACACCTTAGAGTCAAGTGGTTACCCATGTCCTCTTAGAGAATAGATGGTTTTGGTTCCAAAGGCTCAGAAGGTTTTCGTGATGTGTCCGTAACGAATGTTGCACGTATGAAACCGCTCTATATTCGATATAAACACAACTAACAATGTCACAATATGATTCTCAAAGCAGACAGTTTTTAATGTAGATTCTGGTCCTCTGTGTAAATGGAACCAGTAACGTTTGATCTGGGGGACGAGACTGTAAGAAGCAGTCTATTTACGGATGTTCATCGATGTTCATGTCTGTTGCCAGTTGGCCAAGACAGTGTGTAAATGTAGAGTCTGTTCCTCTTTGATATTGGAACCAGAGAGACATGGCTGTTAGAGACAGTCCTTGTTTGGTATGTTCACCGAATGTTGTTGTGAGTTCTAGGACGTTCCAGACAGCGTGTAAATGTAGATGCTATTCCTCTTTGTAATAGGTGAGTGAGTGAATGAGTTTAGTTTTACGCCGCACCCAGCAATATTCCAGCTATATGGCGGCGGTCTGTAAATAATCGAGTCTGGACTAGACAGTCCAGCAGCGTTAGCATCGATCTGCGCAGTTGGGGGGCCGATGACATGTGCCAACCAAGTCAGCGAGCCTGACAACCCGATCCCGTTAGTCGCCTCTCACGACAAGCATGGGATTCTAACCCGGACCTTCACGGGTATCTTTGTAATGGGACCAGTGGAGACATGACTGTAGAAGGCTGATGATGTCATTGATGTCTCTGTTGGCGTTTGTTCCAGGTTGCACCGATGTTGACGAGGAAGTTGTTGCAGTTGGGGAGAGGGTCACTAAGAAGTGTGTGACGAAGGAATGTCGAGACATCTTCAACCACAACATCCTGGTGGTGGTGGAGGGAGGTAAGCGTTGGTTTACCATGTGGGTGAGTGAGTGAGTGAGAGATTGTACGCCTCTTTAAACAATATTGCAGCAATGTCATTACGGGGGACAGCAGACACGGGCTTCACACATTGTACCCATGTAGTGAATCGAACCCGGGTCTTCGGGTCTTTAACACAAGGCAACCCCCCAGCCCTGGTTTGCCATGATGCATCCAAATATAGTGCTCCCCTTTCTCTGATTATTTCACACAGAATATTTGTTCTGGTATTAAGGCTGTATGATAATGCATCCCATGATAGTTTCACATATATAATAAATATGTTCCCGACATAAGCACGACCGCCACTGAAAGTCCAGATACTTGAAGCACCGATATCATTTTTCCCTCAAATATTTTCTTGTTGGAGTTTAGCGAGCATTAAAGGAATACTTTCATAAAGCATGCTAACACCATATGAATGGTAAGCGGCCTAAAGTAAGATGGATACATGCCACGTTTTATGAATAACAACTTTTTATTCTTTATACGACGTTTCAGAGCTAGTTCCTGCTCCTTCATCATTCACATGATGATTGATGTTCACCCAACCTATTCATGTGCCCTAAAGTAACTTAAGCAAGGGATGTTTAAGGGTGATGTTTGAATGGTATGAGTGTTAGGATGGGGAGAGTATGTAGTGTTGTTGAAGGTGTTGGGAGGGGTAGAGGTGGAGATCAACAGCCTATAGTATGACCCAAACAAAATAAAAGGTTCTTCCCCATCATAAACCGTCCTTTAAGGCCTGCTCTGTCTTTAATACGTACAAAAGTGTAATTAATAAGTACAAAACTCTATCGTTTACTGATTCCCCGTCGGTGTGGTTGCAGGCTGCATGGACGACGTGAGCCTGAAGTGCCGGCTGGAGAACGAGACGTGGACGGACATGGTGGGAGAGACGTGCAAGATGAAGTCGTGCGTCAGGAAATACGACAACAAAACACAAACTGTATTCTTCGAAATCGCCGACGAGGGCTTGGGTATGATACACTTGTGATTGCATTTCCATGACTTGCAGCAAATACACACAAATGTTGGTTTAAAGACCCATTCAACCCATTTGTTATAAGGAAATGCTAATTAAGAAACATCGTTACATTCAACTCGAAATATCCTTCAACAAGGTCTAACCCCATGATACAGATTAACGCTTATTCTCAGAAAATATATAATTTTGATACAAACAAATAACTGTTTTAATTGAAAATTAGCCCAAGTGAGACTGGGCCTGAGATGTTCCTGAACCTGTGGAACATCTAGACTTGCTTCATATAGGGTTTGTGCATTAGAGGGGGTGGGAACAGAAGGGGAAATAATATGGTTCGGGGTCTGTGAGACAGACTATCCAACATCAAGACTCCAAATCTTCAACATCTCATCTCGTAATTAGGATAATTTTGCAGGTTTATACTTTCGATGATTCATTTTTGCAGCTCACTGACTGGGTTTTGCTACATATGTTTTTGGCAGCTCATGTGTGATAAACAGCATGAGGTGTACAATTTCCAATACAGCTCTCAGTTGATTGTCAGAAATGTCAAAGATTGATAAACAAGCAAACATTACATTATATTTATAAACAAACAAGCATTATTGATTGACAGTTATGGACAACCGTGAAGATCCGGATCAGAATCTGTCTTTAGCAACCATACTTGTCGGGAGAGACGACTAATGAAACCAGGTGGTCAGGCTCGCTGACTTGGTTGATGCTATCGTAGCACAATTGGGTGAATCGATGTTCATAATGGCAATCACTAGATTGTTTTGTCCAGGCTCAGTTCTTGTCTTATTTACAGACCACGTTTCTATTCATTGTAAGGTTGCCGAGATAAGGATCAGTGTCTTCCCTTGAACTACACCAAGGTGAAGGGGTGTTACCAGACCCAGTGCCAGGAGGACAAGGTGTCAGGACTCGCCGGCTTCGTGGTGAAAGTAGCAGGTACCAATACCGGTGTTGTAGCTCGGAATTCTAAACCATGATACTCTGTGTCAGCCCGTTGTTCAGTCTCAGACAAACATTTACTGAATACAGTGATACCATTCCTGTATATGAAGCATGATACCTGACAATGTATACCTGGGTTAAACTGCCCAGTATACAATCGTTAATGTGTTTCTATATCTGGTCCTTGCTTTTGCAGCGTGTTTCGATATGAAAAAAACAACAAAAACCACGTCGCACGGTTTTATAGTTCAAATGATTATTCAAGTTTATAAATATATGGTTGGCTGAGTGATTGACCAAAGGCCTCATTTAAAGCTAATTTCCTGGAACTGTTGACTGTTCCTGTACACAACGTTGAAACAAGATACTCCCTCTGCTGTAGTCTTTCGGGACTTGGTACAACGTGGTTCCTATTTCTGGACTTTCCTGAAGCATTTCCTCACCTGTCCAGGAAAGCGTAGATCTCTATTATAATCACATAGTTCTGAGACTGGCTGTGTTTGTTCCAGGGTGTTCTGACGGTCGCGGCCACTGTATCCCGCAGGGCGAGAATGTAACCCAAGGGTGCATTACCCTCCACTGTGACAGATCAAGATCAGCCTGTGGGCTCAGTGTCATCAAGGGAGGTAAGCTGGGTGTATCTTAAACTACTCGTCTATGATTGGGACATATATACATTAACTGCTGTCCAGATCTGCATAGCCACTACCAAATATTACATATTAGCAAGATGAACTGAGATATGTTTCAGGGACCCGAGGTAAGCTGGGTGTCGTCAAGGGAGGTAAGCGGGATGTATCTTAAACTACTCGTCTAGGGTTGGGAAATATATACATTAACTGCTGTCCAGATCTGCATAGCCACTACCAAATACTACATATTGGCAAGATGAACTGAGATATGTTTCAGGGACCCTTGGTTTTAGGGACTTGATTACTCCGTCACATCTTAAAAGCACTCACTGCTTTTCTCAGAAAGGCCGACCGATTTTCTATTCATAATTTTCCCCACCAATTTGTTTTTCATACGTGTTTTCTAGAATATTATATTGTGTCTCTTCTACCATCCAAGTAACGCTACCCGACTCCGTGGTGTAGTGGTTAGAGCGTCCGCCCGGAGAGCGGAAGGTCGCGGGTTCGATCCCAGCGGCCGTGTCATACCAAAAGACGTTAAAATATGGTACTTGTTGGTCCTGCCTGGCGCTCGGCATTAATGGGTACAACAAGGACTGGTCGGCTCGGAGTCAGTATAATGTGTCTGAGTGGGGTATTCATGCTTAACTGCGGCATGGTATCTCAGTGGGCTAGCACTATAAAACCAGTTTAAGTGTGGGCTAGTACAAGCAACCGCACATACACATACACACGCATGCACGTCGTCATATGAGCGAAATATTCTCAAGCACGACGTTAAACCCAATTTCACCTCACCTCACCTCCAAGTAACGCCCTCCTCCATAACCTTACCGTTCCGCTGGTTATCAAACTAACTCAGCAGCAGGTACCCAAGGTCCGACATCTTACCTTCACCTTAAGTATGGGAAGTTCAATACACTAACGTGTTTCTGTTGTTACATTCACACACTGCAAACTGAATTACTCTCTGTGACGCAGGGTGTTCTGCAAAAGGTGGGAAGTGTTTCGAGGTGGGCGAGAACGTCACACAGAACTGCATGCACTACTCCTGCAAGGAGTACAGGAGCAAGAAGTCGATCAAGTGGAAACTGGAAGTCAGTCAAGCAGGTAGGCCTTCCAGATCTCTATGTTTGTTTCTTCCAATTCTCAACCCAGACCATGGGTCGGTTTACCAGGATACTAACATGCTGATAGACTGTTGTGGTATAAGATTGTATGTATTATTGACCAAACGTTTTTCTATATAAAGGGAGTTGTGGGGTAGCCTAGTGGTTAAAGCGTCTGTTCGTCCCGCCGAAGGCCCGGGTTCGACGAACCACAAGGGCACAATGGCTGAAGTACATTCCTGATGTTATTGCTGGAATATTGCTAAAAAGCGGAGTAAAACTCAAGCATTCATTCATTCTTTATGAATGTAACTGTCATCCGCCCGTGTTTGTTTGCGATCTTTAATGAGTACGTTACCTTGAACGACTGATATTAGAATTATCACGATATACAAATCAATATTAAATGATAAATAAACGGTAATGACGATGCATTAAGTCGCATTAAGTCTTACGTAAAGCGTAAATGTTCGGAACCATTTCTAACCCGTCATCATATGAGTCGGAAGAAGCTATATCACTATACCTCTCTGTTCCAGGGTGTATCGACAGTAAGGGCAAGTGCTACAATGCCGGAGACAGGCTAAACGCCAGCTGCTGTACCTATGAGTGTATCTTCGGTGAGCGGCCAGGCTTCTATCCAGTATGGGCGGGTACGTTACCGACGTTGAAGGAGATGTTTCTTATAAGATGTCTTGTTATACAACCAGATAGCGATGTCTGATGTATGAATGGCACGGAACACTTAGTCAGCCTCACTGGTTCAGATATATAGCCAAGGCATCATATGTTCCTCTTGAAAGTAGCATGAATGGCATGAAAGAGGTGCTGAAATAGGTGCTGAAATAGGATCATCAGCGAACCGATCCCATGTATGGTACTGTGGGCTTATGTGTTAGAATATGGTATTGTTATATGGAGCCATCAGCTATGATACATCCAGTTTGGTGACGTGACGACATTAATGTCGCCACTCGTTTGCGTAAAAACATACATGAGTAGATCTTGATACGGGACGTGGAGATGGTGACATCAATTCAAACAGGAACCTGTTTGGGGATTTGTCCAAGCTGTTTATCATAATAGAATGGCATAACATCACCAATATCACTGAAATGAAGAATACCTCCCTCCCTCCCTCCCCTCACTCACTCACTCACTCACGAACGAACGAATGCTAAGGTTCTGTAGTACTTCACACGTTTCCCATTTCCAGGATGCAACACCAACCTCGGCTGTGTAGCTCCGAACGACAAGCTGAAGGTTGGCTGCTCTACCTACAACTGCACACCGTATGAAAATGGGACTCGGAAACTGTTCCTTGAAAGCAAAGGTATGTGAAGACCATAAGGAGATTCACATATGAATGACCGAGCTTCCTTATCTGACGAGGGTACATCCCTAAAAGGGGAAGGAAGAGATGTAACTAATCAGTTGTAAGGGTGGATAGCCAAGAACTCAATGTCGTCAAACTGTTTGATGAACTCTGATTTGTGTAATTGTTAATTGTCACCCCTTGGCTCTTCCTGAATGACTTGCGGCAAATGCAAGACCTGCATTACAATGAATTTTCAGTCAAATTATTGGAAAATTATTTCGCTTTATAAAAAATTATCATAAATCTCACATGTATCTTTGTTTCTATTTTTTGGTCAGGTGAAGCCGATGATAACTTTCTTTTGCCCGGTAGTTTATATGTTCCCAATTTGTGCTTGGTTTAAGTGATTCTCTGAAACATAAACACATGTTATGTAATGACAAATGTTTTATAAATGGTTCGTTCTTTTCACATGATTTCACTCAAGATGGATATTGTGTTTTTGTGTGTGTTTTATACAATTATTCACAAAATGTGAATGGGATTCGGTACAAGTTCTTCATCTAAGTACACCCTTGCCCATACATATGCATGTTATTGTCTCTGATTCCACTCCTTAAAACCTGTCATCACTTTGGCGATGGTCTCCATTACATCTCATCTTTAGTGATGACAGTAGAGATGCGATTGATTAAAGGATATGGTAGAAAGCTGTTGGCAGTTTTCATCGTTTCACGCGAGAGAGCCATATGCTTTGCTGCTTTGTGATTGTGGTCACTACGCATGATTTGTGGAGCAGGTCACTGTAGGTTATTAACACATGTTTCCTGTAGTACTAGTAATTAGGTATGGTGGGTCTTGTCCTTAGTTAATATATGGAGCCTCTGGAATTCATTCCTATCTTTTAAGGCTGCAAATACAAAGACAAGTGTTACGACGTCGGCGGTAACGTCACTGATGACAAACGGTGTATAACATACACCTGTAATATGGGCGGGAAGATGACGAGATCTCTAGGTGAGTACAAAATACATAGCTAGCACAGTCTCCCTCTGATAACACATGACTAACACAGTCTCAGTCTCCCTCTAATAACACATGGCAGAGAGTCTTCCCTCTGATAACACCTGACTAACACAGTCTCAATCTAGCTATGATAACACCTAACTAACACAGTCTCAGTCTCCCTCCGATAACACCTGACTAACACAGTCTCGGTCTCCCTATGATAGCAAATGACTAACATAGTCTCGTCCTCTGTACTGAAATGACAGACTAACATAGTCTCGGCCTCTGCACCGAAATGACAGACTAATATAGTCTCGGCCTCTGCACCGAAATGACAGACTAACATAGTCTCAGTCTCTGTACTGAAATGACAGACTAACATAGTCTCAGTCTCTGTGCTGAAATGACAGACTAAGATAGTCTCAGTCTCTGTACTGAAATGACAGACTAACATAGTCTCGGTCTCTGTACTGAAATGACAGACTAACATAGTCTCGGTCTCTGTACTGAAATGACAGACTAACATAGTCTAGGCCTCTGTGCTGAAATTACAGACTAACATAGTCTCGGCCTCTGCACCGAAATGACATTGCCACATGTAACTAGACTGATTTCGATTTCAGAATGCCCGTGGAAGAACAAATGCTATCCTCCAGACAATGAAATCAAAGATGGCTGCAACACGTACATATGCCGTGTGAATAACACCCATCGAGTGATTCAACACGTGCATCTAGGTAGGTGGACACGTGCTGTCAGGGTTGGGGTAATGTATAAGGTTGAACATTCTGCGAGAAAAGTAACAAAACGGTATTTAAGCGATCATCTACTGTAAGCGTTCAAGCAATAAATCAATACATAAATCATTCAATCAATACATAAATGATATAATAAATAACGAAATACCACGATGATGACGACGATGATGATGATGATGATGATGGTGGTGGTGGTGGTGATGATTGCCTATTAAATGATCTACCGAGTTTAACAAATTCATCTTCACGAGGCTTTATTGTATAAAACATAACGTGTTTGTATTGCCAGCCTGCAAGGTGGATGGTAAATGTATCGACCCGGGCGTCGTGTACAAACGCAACTGCAACACCTACAAGTGCAGCGAGGACAAGAAGTCCTGTCACTCCTACCTTGTGGAACTCGGTATGTAGAACATCCTTATCTGGGTTACACTGTTACATATTGACTACAGTGAGTATGATTCAATAACGCCCAATGGTGAATCGAGAGGTCTTCAGAGTAACGGGCGAACACTTTAACCACCCTGCTACCAACCACCGATATGTGAAAGAGATCTACATGGAGTGTTTGAAATCCAGTTTCCCATTAGGACCCACAGAGGTTAACAAATGCGGGCCCTGACTTAACCCTTCAGTCCCTCACCTGGAACATAATGCAGCCTGCTGTGACAAATAGATTTGTGTTGCTGGAGCTATGCTGGAGCTTAGCTACCATTATAAAGCCCAGACTTACACGTGATTGTGAGCTGAAAAATGTTTTTCTAATTCTTGCAAAAAAATACCTGCAAACACGTTGTCAGAACAATTTAAAAAATGGTAATCCCTTTAGGAATCATATTGACTGCAATATTCTTTGATAACTAAACATTACCAATACAGTTACCATGTACGCAAGCATGCGTTAAACAATGCCAAAACATATTTGCATATGAAGAAGTCACATTTCAATTAAATGATTATGCTGTCTGAATTAATGGTAGACTATTCTAAGTTATGCCTCTTATGATTTCAAAATAGTGATAACATAACAACATTTTGAAGTTATTGAAATCATAAAACGATAACACTTAAGATCTCGTAAAAATGAGGGGCGGTGGGGTAGCCTAGTGGTTAAAGCGTTGGCTCGTCACGCCGAAGACCCGGGTTCGAATCCCCACATGGGTACAATGTGTGAAGCCTATTTCTGGTGTTCCCCCGCCGTGATGTAGCTGGAATATTGCTAAAAGAGGCGTAAAACCAAAACTCAGTCAGTCAGTCAGTCAGTCAGTCATATAAAAATGAAAGTTGGTCATGCCCTCAAGACTATCTAAATATATAGCTTTGCAACCTATCGGGCTTACACGGAAAAATTGGCTTGCTACACGCCTGATATGTAACATATATATTGAAAGCACGAAGTTTAGGCCGTACAACAGCTCTGGACTCAGAAGGGAACGTCTTACTACCCTTGTGTTTCATATTCCAAGATTGTGTATCAGTATAAAAATTGATGTTTATAACGACAAATGGATCTTTTGAGTATAGACAGACATTGGTATCAGCGGGCCACTCTGATCGCGACTGCGCGGGTTGTTGCTTTTGCTGTCAATCACTGGTTTACCAGTCTAGGACGTATGTATTTGTTTTCAGGCTGCAAGGATCCGAAGACAGGGAAGTGTTTGGAGAAGGGGGCTATGTTCCGACAAGGCTGTTCAGACTTCGAATGTCAGCCCAATGGGAAGGAAAACCCCTTCAAGTTCAAATCCGGGGGTAGGAGACTCTAAATTATGTTTAAAACTCTCTCTCATAATATGTTTATCTAGAATAAATGCTTGTCAAGGTAGACAGTGCCTAGGGATATTTGGAATTCGTTGAGATCCACTTCATCTTTGGTTTTAGAAGACATTGCACAAACTGGACTGAAATAGGTGGGCGATATGAATATGAAATTTAAGGATCACCCGATACTTTCATATTCATGACATGCCATATCAGCTATAGAAAATGAATCGTGTGATCCTTAACCGTTTTGAGTAGTATATAAGAAGAACATGCATAATTAGTGACGATTGGAATCATGATGATTAGTGCGTACAATTCACTCACTAACCCACTAAAAACTGCTACGCCAGGGAAAGTAATGATATGTTATTGTGAAGATAACGGTAAAATTACAGTTAAATACAGCCATACATCATATGTTATGTAGACATGGTCCTTTCTGACAGCAATAAACGACAGATTCTTCTGTTATGAATAATAACATTGAGGGCTATTGTCTTTGATTGCTATTATTGTGGCGGTGTGTGGTCCTGTGCGTAGACGTTGGTCGCGGACAGTCCTCGGATGGTTGACCGTGTTTGGCAGTCCTGCCCACAACGAAGCACATGTGATACATGTGGTCCCACCTTAGGCAAGTGAGTTTGTTCAAAATTGCCTCTGTCCACCCAGCAGTAAATTGGGTACCTGGTATGATACGATGGTAGTCTGAATTTGAACCTTGAGCGCCTGACAGGCGACCGGTTGTATTCTCCACATGGAGTGTTCCGTACTCGTTGACCATGCAATGTGCATGGATAAACGCGCAATATAAATGGACTATTATTATTATTATTTTAAGATTGCAGTTATAAGAACAAGTGCTACAAGCTAGGCAAGCCTGTGTCCACTGGATCTTGTGGTACTATGACCTGCGAACACAAAAAGAAAAATGACCCTTCGTCTGGACTGGTCATCAGGACAGCTAAAGGTGAAGCACGTTGAACCAGGAATATTATATTAAAGAAACGTCACTGCAATCTATTTAATTCATTGGACACAAAATATCTATATACATGATTTGTCAGATTCATCGATCTTATAAATACGTATGCATTCCGCCATTGTGATATAGTACAGATAAAATGCACTTAGAGAGATACAATATCATACCCCAAATATATTAATATTCCTGTCAATTTGAGCATAAAGTTGCTTCCCTTCGCGGTGTCTGTATCTGCTGGTGTTGAGTTCTAAAAGACATTCAACCCGATAATGATCCTTGGTCTGACAATACAATACTCTTTCTGAGTTTTTCTTCATCAAGGAATTTATCGTCTAACAAAAGCAAGATTTATGGATGTCAACGTCTTTATTGTGAATAACACGACGTTTCGGAGTGTATGCTTACTCCGTCGTGTTATTCACAATAAAGAAGTTGACATCCATAAATCTTGCTTTTCTTATGCATTCCACTTCTAAATGCCCTTCAAAGATTTGAACTTAACGTCATTACGATCTGACACATACTATACAACTGAACCGATGTTCTAAGCGCTATCACCCGTGAAGGTCCCGGGTTAGAATTGGTCTTCAGTAACCCATGCTTGTTGTAAAAGGCGACTCTGCTTGTCGTAAGAGGCGACTAACGGGATCGGGTGGTCAGGCTCGCTGACTTGGTTGACACATGTCATCGGTTCCCAATTGCGCAGATCGATGCTCATGCTGTTGATCACTGACCGCCTCCATATAGCTGGAATATTGCTGAGTGCGGCGTAAACCTAAACTCACTCACTCACTCTAAGCGCTATCTCGGTTTGTTTCGGGTAGGTTGTGAGAAGAACGGCGAGTGTATTGCCCAGGGAAAGGGCAGCTGGGACAAGAACGCCAGCCCCTATTACTGCTACAAGTCTGTGTGCCACTATGGGAAGATCTACAAAGTCGGCATCCGTGAGTACCCTTACTTCTCATATCTTCCCACGTTCACTTGATTTATTCGTGCCCGTTCGCCATTGACGACCTTTGCCTTAACCTGACCCGCACTAAAAAGAGCAAGGGAGCTCATTGGCTATAAATAAAATATGTCCCATCAGATCGTTGACTTTTTTCAGTGCGGCGCAGGTTAAGGCCAAGGTCGTCAATGGCGAACGGGCACGACACAATTCTGTTTGCGATGAATAAATGTACGTAAACTCATTATGATAGTGAGGTGTAAATTTCTCCGAAAGAATGGCGACTAGCGCGCTGACAGGTGCCATCTGTTCAACATGTTTTTGTGCACGTCGTGTGTGTATACTGTGAAATAAACAAGAAAATTGGTGAGTTACCGCTACAAATTCTAAGCAGGGATTTTGGCTCGGAATCGAGAAATCACGATTTTTCTAGCTTCCAAAGACCCTAGCTCCCAAAGTACTGCTTTGATTTTTGTGCTGTATGTCTTATTTAGTAGGTACATCTATTGGCTTGAAATGTGTGCATACTTTAAATGGGATAAATACAGTGAGCATTGTTGAATTTGCCCTGAAACGAACTTGGTTTGTTGACCTCGTTACATCCCTTTCCGTTTATATAGTACTGAGACCCGATTAGTGACAGTATATACCCTGATGGCAGTTTTCAGCATTACAAACCCCTGTGGATCACTATATATGTGCATTATCATGGCCAACATTAGGTGGCGCAGATCACAACGTCACGATTCCCTATTCAAAGTTGCCTCCCTTGAGCACGCCAGGAACATATGATTGTTGCTTTAAAACCCTTTTCTCCCCGATCATGTTTTAGCTTTGTCATTCCCGTTCTCATGGGTCTCACTAAAGTGGTAAGATCTAAGACCTGCTTTACTTCGGGATTTTCTCCCACATTAAGCAGACACGCCGCTTTATTACTGGAATACGTTCAAAGGGTCCTGTAACCCAAACACGGGCACTATCCGATGACATTCTGTGACTGTTACATAATTATATGATTCAATCCGTAACTATGATAATGTATGACTTACGTTTCAGTGTGCAAGACCAAGGACAACGAATGTTTGAAAGTCGAGGACGGGGTCAGCAAGAAGTATGAAATGTCGTACAAGGGCCGCAGTTGTCAAGCATCATGTTTGTTGAAAGGCAACCAAATAAAGATCCTAAACATCAAATGCTAAGACAGTAACATATACGTTACCAAACATCATTTAAGTTTCTTTCAGATTATAAAAAGTTTTATGTTATGAATTGGGTTATATTTTGTTTTAGCGACGGTGGAAATTTGATGAATTTGACAGTGAATAAAAGCAAAAAAAAATGACAAAAATGTTGTGTTGATACATCAGCCCATTCAAGTTGTTTCCAGCAGTTATTGCACAGTGTCATTGTCATATCTGGTGGCTATAGAAATGCCGAATATTAAGTGTTTTGTTGACGTTAACCGTACCACGAAGATTAACTTATCTATTATATGAACTATATAGGTCATATGTTGGATGAGAGCTTTGGAATTTTGTAATTCCGCTCACCACTGTTGGTAATTATGTAATATGTTTGTTTATCCTGGTTAGATGTATGCATTACACACAGGGTCGAAGGATATATTAATATTGAATATTATACCAACTGTCGAACAAACGTGAACATCTCGTTTTGGGGCAGTTGGCGTAGCAACGGAAGAATCTATTTCACCAGAGCAGGGGTTTCTTGCTGAGTACCGAGATGCAAGGGGAGTCTATCCTGGGTTACCTGCTCAAGAATGAACCTGCCACCCCTGCTGTTGCGGATAGACTGCTCCGATCATGCAGAAACGTATTTTGGACGTTATTTTGCAGTTTTGACTTGCAGACGAAAAATATTAACTATATCGTAAAGATTGTAATCCGTATCTAATTCTATTGATAAGCCAGAAAGGGAAGGAAATTGTTGGCACGAACATTATGTAGTAGTATGTATTGTATTGATATTTGAGTGTACGACGTGGTCAGAAACTGCACATGTGATTGGCGGTTCTAACTTTCACAGCTATAGAATATTTTGTCGAATTGTCAACATTTACCTTTAGGAATTTAGAAATATTTGAAATGTTACAACATTACTTCCTATGAGTTTGTAAGCGTAATGAACTCGCAGTTGTCTCCCTTATGTAAGGACGAAAACAATGATGGATTTTTTTATGACATACGTATCAATATAATACATTGCGTACTGATGTGACTATGTCTGACTGGTTAAAATACTTAGTGCAATAAACATTACTTACTGATGCTCACAATGATTTAGTCCTATTTCTGGCAGTGAGATTATCACACATTTTAATTGGTCTAGCGCGTCGTCCCATTTCTGGCAGTGCGAATTCCGTAATTCCCATTTCTGGCAGTATACTGTTCACACCGCTTAATTGATAGGTAATAAATTGCTAATTGGACAATTGGTCAAACGTCTCGCAGCAATATCACCTAGATCTGTAGCATGTGTGTGGGGCTTCCCGCGTCTCACAAAGGTGCCGTCTGCGATTGTGGTCACTTTGGCCTGACAACTGGTATGGAGACACCTCCAGGGAACTGAACCATTCTTATTCCTATGTATGCCTAGTTTACAAACGATGTCCTTAAAATGTACCACCATACGTGCAAGGGCTATAGTATACCAGCACTATAACGCCAGGGGAAATCTAGAGTTGTCTCCCCATGTTTTACCCATTTGAGGAATCGAACCTGGCTCTGCATGGTGAGAAGACGTTTTGACCATTACTATACCGCCTCATCTCTTGTGAGTGATGAAATGTGTTTACGGGAAGTCAGCCCATTTATCATACAGATTGTATGGATCTAACTGTGAGTGAGTTTAGTTTTAGGCCGCTTATAACAATATTTCAGTAATATAACCGGGACACCGGAAATTGGCTTCACTCATTATACCCATGTTAGGAATCGAACCCCGTCCTTCGTGACAAGCGAACGCTTTAACCACTAGACTACCCGGCCACCCTAATTGTTTGTGGTGAGGTACTGATCTGACAAATTGAAAAGTGAATAGTTGTGTCTGTTAAAACGAGAGTTTAACTCTAATAAATCTGTGCCTGAGTCAGCAGTCATTTGCATAAATAGAATGTTTACAGTGTAGTTTTAGAGAGTGTTACAATCATTTATAGAAGTACATATACACCAAGAACATCAAAGATATGTGAGTGAGTTTACTTGTAAGGCAACAGCTCACACATGTTTTACGCCGTACTCAGCGCACTAATAAATTACATTACCCATGTGGGCATTCACACGAGATACACACTATAATTGGCACAATTAATATTAAAAAGCGTAATAGAATTAAACAGAAATAAAGCAGTCCATTTTCAACAGTAGTACATGTACATCGAGAATATCACAAACTTACAACAAAATGTCCAGATATTAACAGAGGGATTGGCAAGGGTAATATAAGATACAACAGCTTATAGATCTAGAGGAGATATAATAGCATGTTGTTATAAGATACAATAGCTTATAGAGGAGATATAATCGCTTGAAGTTAAGATACAATAGCTTATAGAGGAGATATAATCGCTTGAAGTTAAGATACAACAGCTTATAGAGTGGATAATATAGCATGTTGATAAGATACAATAGCTTATAGAGGAGATATAATAGCATGTTGTTAAGATAGAAAGCTTATAGAGGAGATATAATAGCATGTTGTTAAGACACAATAGCTTATAGAGGAGATATAATAGCATGTTGATAAGATACAACAGCTTATAGAGGAGATATAATAACATGTTGTTAAGATACAAAGCTTATAGAGGAGATATAATAGCATGTTGTTAAGATACAATAGCTTATAGAGGAGATATAACAGCATGTTGTTAAGATAAAATAGCTTATAGAGGAGATATAATAGTATGTAGTTAAGATAAAATAGCTTATAGAGGAGATATAATAGTATGTTGTTAAGATACAATAGCTTATAGAGGAGATATACATGTAATAGCATGTAGTTAAGATACAATAACTGATAGAGACGATGTGATAGTGTGTGGTTACGATAGAACATAGTACAAGATAGTAAAAATTCTTACGTGAATAAATACACAACGTGTTTGTTACTCCGCCACAGACTGATCTGTGACCGACTGTCGTCCGTATGTAAACATCATCAAGCCACTATATATATGCTATTGTCTGATAAGAATGTCGATAACGTTGTTATTGCGAACGTACGTTACTCTATCTTGAGAGAATTACAACATTTACTTTGATGAATGTGTTGATTAAAACGCTAGTTACGGATGAGGTTCATCGTGAATTAGATAAGTTGTTCAGCTTTATACCACCGCTCGTACACGTGGTCGGGTGATTTGATAAGAGTAGATGATAAACTTAGCGGCGATAGAGATAAATGTATTGCGTAAATTCTGTTAGCTTAACTCTAACCAGCACCATAGATACAGATGCTGGCCCTGGATCATGTCCCATGTTGGTTATCAGTTTGACCCGTGGCAAGTTTAAGATAATGGAACATGGTCGGTCAACTTTCCAATCGCATATAAAGTCATGGAATATTTGTAAAACGTTTTCCATTTTGTCCATGTAAATATATTAACGAACATGTAGCGAAAGTATGTTTTCTAAAATGCTTGATAGTTCAATTCCGTTTTCTGAAAAGGACATAACAAATTGATAAGAATAGAATAGAAAAGTGCCTCGAATACAATGCGTGTTATAGAACGTCGGTGAAATGTTTCTGCAGCTGTCGATCCAGGAAAGTAAGAGACGTGAAGGTTCTTTAAGACACGAGGGTTCGTTTACAGAATGGATAAAAATATACATAGCATTAATTGGGGGGTTATTGTTCGTATTAATCTTATAGCGGGAATATGTTTTACATGTCAAGATATTAAGTGATGTATACGCCAGACTTAGTTTCCTAAAAGCGCCTGGGTCATAAGCAACCCTCTATTCTACAACTTACTGCATAATTGCACGCCATTTGGTATATATTTTCACACACACATGACACAGCCTCTCCAGGGGCGGATACAGCTTTTTGAGAAAGGGGCGGGGGGTGTACACTATTGAGAAGGGGGCGGGGATGCACACTTCATTTCCACCCGAGTTTCAATGGTCATTTAACTAACATTCTGGAAAAAAGGATGGGGTGGGGTGTGTGCGCACCAACGCGCGCGCGCACACGCACGCACGCACGCACACACACACACACACGGATCGGCATATGCTCTCTACTTGTATTGTGAGTAGCACTATTTCTCAACCGTGAAAGCAACAAATCCACGGCTCGTCCGAATCGGGCCTGCGACACCAAAACCAACGGAGAAATGCGAGAAGCCAATAACTGACAGTTCCAAGGCTCAACCTCAGAAAGCAACAGACTCACCGATGGCTCCAGTACAGGGCGTTTGTGTGTGGGTGCATAGAGTATTTTACTACCGCTTCATCAGTTTAAATTCTCTTGTTATCAACTTTTACCATCCTATTTTGGTCTAACATGTGTTGTGCGTACCCTACAAATTACTACCGACTTGGTCAGAAAGAGTCACAGCGTCACGTTTACTAAGAGGGGTCAAGTACTGATCAATGACAGAACAACCAACGAGCAGCGATTCACATTTATTAGAAGTTGACGAATGGATGCCAAACGACAGTTGATTAACCGTCTATGTTGTGTATATAGCTTCCATGCAATCAGGGGTAAGTTGAAAGCTACAAATTAGATTCGCGAATGTCTCTTCAGAATTGGTTACAATGTCAATGCAACCTGAACTATGGTAGAATTCAGACTGTAGGGTAACAACGTAAGGTGAAGTTACCTCCCTTCCCCCGTGCCTCGAGCGTCGAATAACTGCACGAAGACAAGGCTAACAGCTGTGATAACGACATTGATGCTAAAAATGCTAAGTCTTGGTGTTGGTTTTAGATTTCGAGTTAACTGACTTCTGTGATTAAAAAACTATGATTGTCAGACTAATGACTTTAACTGTATGACACAGGTGTAGACAGAGTTCCAGTTTGTACTCAATTCAGTTTGCAAGGCAATTTATTTAAGTTATTTAGCAAAGGATAGGGTGACTGGTGTTTATAAACATTATAACACACAAATAGGGTGACTGGTGTTTATAAACATTATAACACACACATAGGATGACTGGTGTTTATAAACATTATAACACACCAATAGGGTGGCTGGTGTTTATAAACATTATAACACACACATAGGGTGACTGGTGTTTATAAACATTATAACACACCAATAGGGTGACTGGTGTTTATAAACATTATAACACACACAATAGGGTGACTGGTGTTTATAAACATTATAACACACCAATAGGGTGACTGGTGTTTATAAACATTATAACACACCAATAGGGTGACTGGTGTTTATAAACATTATAACACACACATAGGGTGACTGGTGTTTATAAACATTATAACACACCAATAGGGTGACTGGTGTTTATAAACATTATAACACACATAGGGTGACTGGTGTTTATAAACATTATAACACACCAATAGGGTGACTGGTGTTTATAAACATTATAACACACACATAGGGTGACTGGTGTTTATAAACATTATAACACACACTGGTGTTTATAAACATTATATGGGGGTGACTGGTGTTTATAAACATTATAACACACACATAGGGTGACTGGTGTTTATAAAC